CGACTTGACTAAGGTCTTGGTGGCAATCTTCCAAACGTGCTCGCTGACCTCATCCGTGTGTGCATCTCGTCACTCTTAGGTCTTTCGGAAGTCAGTTCTCGCACCAAATGTTTCGGAGGAAAACGAATAAGGCACAAAGCCTGATTTACGTGTGCCACTACCTCTGAGGACTTTGAACCAACCAGCCACATCTTTCCAAAGATCTCGGACACAGTGCATGAAGCCCATGCCAAACAATGCCTATATAAAGGTCTCATTTCCAACCTCATAAGGTATGCGCAACTTAGCTCTCGTAGCTCTCTAGCTCTCTAACATTTTAGCTCTCTCTAAAATCTCCACATCGTTGACTTAAGCATCAGAGTGCCCACCCCAAGTAAAGCAATTCAGGCACTCTGACACTATCTCTTTGCAAGTCGAGCCGAAGAACTAGCCAGCTTGGCATTTGAGCCACCTTCTGGCAAGGAACTTGCCAGCTTGGAGTCCGAGCTATCCTCCAACAAAGAGCTGCCATATCGCACATCATCACACATCTAGTTTCTTATTATATATAAGTAATAAGCAATTAAAATAGCATGAACAAACATGAAGAATTTCAATCATTTCATTAAACATGTAAAAATACATAAACTATCAATTAGCTTTCATATAAAATATTATTACCTTCAACATTTAGTACATTAAGTTCATATGCCTTTCAATAATATGTTGGTTGGGGAGGGTCAAGTTTACCTAATATCACACTACCCTATCCATGCCCGTATAAGCTATGGAATCCCAAAACCCATCCCCACCCCAATTAAGGGTGTCAATGAACCGGTTTTGGATTGGACCCCATCCAGTCTAAAATCAATTTGAACAGATTAGACRTACCAATAAGGCATATTGGATTGGACCAGTACAGTCCAAAATATTTATTAGATTGAATTAGACCCGGTCCATCCATATAAATTTATGTTGGATTGGGTTGGATTAAGCCAATATCTGATCCATTAATATAAGATAAGAATGCAGGTGTCAATGAACCGGGTTTAGATTGAAACCAATCTAAATCAAAACAAATTCGAACAGATTGAACAGTCCAAACATTCAATTGGACTGGTCCAAAATATTTATTATATTGGATTGGACCTGATCCATTTATAATGAACTCACATTGGACTGGAAAGGATTAGACCAAATCCAGTTCAATTAACACCCCTAACCTCAATATCCATTTTTTAGGAGAAAAAACCCTCCTCATTAGGGTGAACACGCATCATACCCATCAGTTGAGAAGGTAAATCCATCTCTCTAAAATATCAAACACAAGATGAAACCCATATAATAACAAACTCTCATTGGGTTGACCAATGGGCTCAAAAAGGAAAAAAAGGGGGGGGGGGGGCTGATTTGGATAGRTTCTAAAACGTAAATAGGCATGTCATTAAGCTCATTGGGATTGAGTGGCCTACCTTAGCTTATCTGGATCAGATAAAATATACTTATTGAAGTAAAGTAACAGTTTTCTTTTATCGTTTTGTAGAAGTCCAAATCCATTGCTTGCTTTTGTAGTTTTGCGTTGGAGATGTCTTCTTGGCGTTACACTAATCAGCCTCTTCTCGAATCTCAAGTACAACTTCACCTAACATCGATGATCGAAACATTTAGCTAAACAAGGGCTGAGAAAGGCGTGTAGGTCAAGAACAAGAACCTTAGGCTTAGGTTGAAGACCATATTCAGTAAAGACTAGAGATTGGTCTAAATGTGATCCAAGTATCCAACACATCCGAAGTTGCATCCCTACTTCAGTGCTGGAAAATAAGTACTTTCTTTGATTTCCTCATGCCCATTGCTTAGACTCTATTGTATACAGGGTTCATTTGGCTTGATTCGTAGTCAGAATCAGAATTAAAATCTGAATCAAAATCTTTTAGAATTTGTATTGAAATGGTTTATTTTCATAGTCTGGTTCAAATAGGAATCAAAATAAAAATTAAAATCAGTTGGAGTGGGATTTTATTCTCAAATAAAAGGGAGAAAATGACCATTCTCTCAAATAAAAAAATACTATTCTATTAAGAATGCGAATAAGATTCAGATTCCACCCAACCAATCCAGTCGTTGGAATCCAAAATGACCTATTCCAAATTCAATTTGAAAGCCCTATTCATGCAAACCAAATGAGCCCTCAATTCAATAGAGTTGATTGTTGCACATTCTTTCTCTGGTGTGAATCGGTGAGTTTAAATTCAAATTTGTACAAGTTTTTTCAAACCCAGTCCGTCAGTCACCCGTCTGTAAGTTCAAACCAGCAAGTTATTTCAATTTCAAAATGATTTACCTACCTCCAAGAAAAATAACACTTGTCCAGAAAAAAATGGTAATAATTTATGAGGAAAATGTATTTTTCACAAACCCTAGAGTTCTCTGAAAAACACACCCCCTTATATAATATGTGTTTGGTTCGTGGCCGATTATGGAAAAGCCGTTTATTTGTATTTTTTCATTTTAAATGTTTATTTTTTTTATTATTTGAGTGGACTTCACTTTAAATGTTTTTTACTCTTCAACTCAGATTAATACTCATTAAAGTATGTTATATTAGCATTTGGTTTCAATAAACATTGGGGCATTTGGGGAAATGTCAATTTCCCCCAATGCCCCATGCACAAAAATCAAAGCGTTTCAGTTTTCTACCATTTATTTGATAAAACGATGAAACCAAACAATTGTTTCATTTTGCTTCATATGCAATAAACGTCAATGCTTATGTGGCGTTGATGTGGCGGCGTTTTTTTAATAAACACCCACGGAACCAAACACATCCATAATGTAAAAGAATTGATTTACTCTGGTTTAGTTTTACTAGTGTTTGGCAATAATACATTTGTGCATTGATAATTACAAAAAATATAATTTGCAAGGAATGTATGAACCCAAAATGAGAGGGAATTTCACATATAAAAAATGATGTACATTTGCACTCAAGTTGATTAAATGTTAAAAAGCCATATTTTTACCTTGGGATTTGTATTTGTATCCATTACAACTAAAACTCATTTAGCAAGACAATAAATTTATCATTGCAAAACTAAATCAACTTTGCGTTTGTATAGACCAGAATGTACTCTAAGGCTGCATTTGATTGCAATGCAAACGTAAATATGTATATTGCATATTTACCATCTTTTTGGTTTATGAATGCAAATACGGTTCAGATTTTAAATTGTTTTTGCACTCATCTTGTTTGTTTGAAATCGGTGCTAAGTGTGGGCCCCATCATTAAATGCTCTAACTACCTTATGCTCCAATATCTTAACTTTGGTTAAAAATTGATTATTAAAAGAATACAAAATTGTATCCAAAAAATAGGTACAGTAATATTCTCTTTTCAGAATAAAAAAAAGTCAGAAAATACATTTTTGATATGATAATCATTACTTTTTATATGTCAAACAAACTCTCACAAACGCAATATATAAATACCCCGGTTTGCATTTATAATGCAAACAAAAGAAGCCCCACATACTTGCATTTGTACCCTATTTGCATTCTTTGAAGCCTAATGAAATACGTGATATCTCAAAAACTTATAACCAATCAACTGATATTATAAAGGGGTGATCAATCATATAGTATTCATCAAAATTCCTGAAGTGCTTTAGTTGGTCAAAGCTCATCAGGCACTATGTCTTATGTCTTTTCAATATCATAGATTTTCCCTGGCTACGTTTGGAAACGATGCAAATAAGTGTTAATGCAAACATGTAGAGTGTAAAATGGTTCATATAAATTGCAAAATTGGGTTAGTTTTGCACTAGCAAWTTTACCTTCTTACCAAACAGCATACTTTTAGTTGTAATGGATGCAAACATGAATTCCAATAAAGCATATGTTTTTTATTTTTATTTTTATCAAAAGCTCACTTGAATGCAAATTTACTTCTTTTTTATTGATGTACATTTACATCTTATTATCAATATAAATATATATTGATCTGTCATTTGTCAATGCATAAATGTAATGTTACCAAACATATGCAAAAATGAACCAAAATGCAAATTTACCCTAAACCAAAATTTACACTCYATTTACATCATTTCCAAACGCAGCCTAATGAAAATGGTTATACAACAACATCCAACACACTCTGGTAATTCGTCCGAATGTAACTTGATTTATGCATTGTTTGGCCAGCTTCGAAAGAGTCTCCGAATGTAACTTCATTTCTGTTTCCTCCCTCCAATAATTTCTGGTAATTCGTCCAAACATCTGGTCTGTAGTCATATACTCAATTTCAGAGTTCACACACTAATTCTTACCTATGGATGGAGTGGGCCCATTTTGTAGTGTTTCTAAAAGAACCTGGATAAGTAACACTGTTCTTGGTGGGACCTATCAACACACGTGCACCTTATATAGATGATATATAAAGTGATGCTTAACCTTATAATTAGATTTAGATGTTATTAAACAATTAAACATATTTTAGTGAAATGACAAAAAAGCCACTGCTCATTATGGCAAGTGTCAAATCATGGGGTGGGGTGTTTTTAACTTTTTAATCTTTAAAGCATGTACTTTTTTTTATCACTGATCAGTGACGTGTGTGCGCCCAAATCACTCTCCTAAATCCTGAATTTATTTATATTAAAAATAATAAAATATGTGGGATGATGACGTGGACTGTGCTCCCAATTCCAGTCACACCAGAACAGACAAGCTCAAGTGGGTAGCAGATACGGACTCAACTCTCAAGTGGGCCACATGTTCAATCCCTCGTCAACGTTATTATACACTCCATGATGTAGGCCTAAAAGGGCCACGTGGAAGAGTCCAAGAGTTCCACGTTGGTATCACCCGGGCTGCCAAGTAAGCTGCCACGTAACACGTTCTTGTGTCGAAGCCCTTAAAGGCAGGTACGTTTAGTAATTTATGGATATGATGAGGGCCATTTCCATCGATTGAAATGATTCGCACACTATAAAGTGGCATCCTCGCCGACCGCATCGATTACTCGTTTCAGCAAACAAGAAAGAAAAAGACAGGGGGAAGTTTCGCCTGCGACCTTACTGTCCTGCAACTCTGCAACTCACCTTCGTCCTCCCTCTCTCTCTCTCTCTTATTCTCTGCAAGTGCTGAAGGTCCAGAGATCTTTCTCCTTTCACTCCTCCCTCTTATGCAGAAAAAATGGGAAACTTGTTCACCTGTTTCTCCCACAAGGAAGTGAAGAAGAAATCCTCCAAACGTTTTTCCAACCCTCCTTCGCTCATTGGGTCCAGCAACCGGTTTTCTAAAATTCGATCCTCCAAGAAAGGAAATACTGAAGAGACTGTGCTTCAAGAACAGGCCACCGCCGCGGCCTTATTGTTACATCATCATCGGCAGAACGGTTCACTACCATTCGACCGCTCGACTTCTCTGAGGTATCCGGTTCCGGGTTCAAAGAATCAAGCTTTGCCTAGGAGTTCGAGTTCTAGGGCTCGTTCGCTCACGGATCCTATTCTTAAACCTCTTGAACTCGTTAATCAGGTATGGTCCTATTGGAGTTCAATGCGGAAATGGCAAAAGATGTGAAATTTCAAATTTTAATTGAAGTCAGGCTTTTTCAGTGATAATGATGAGTTGCTTGATTCTCTTTTGATCGACTTTTAAACGGTTTAAGACTTTCATTTGCTTTCTTTATACGAATATGAAGGTTAACTTCATTGTATGGATGATGTAAAACCGATACGATCTCGAAGGACTTCCGACTGTCTATGAGTTGGTCTCCGCCCATGGTTACTTCTGTTCTCAGTTGTGGTCTCTGCTTTATTTGAGACTCATGGTTACCACGTAGATTTTGTTATACCATCCCCTTTGTTTCTCTCTGTCACACTGTCTCTGTGTGTGCGTCTGCGTCTGTCTGTGATGCCGTGATTTTGTTAATGAACAAGGGAGAAAGAAGAACAGCTGGAAATGGGCCCCCCAAAAAAGAGATCAATAATGCATTCGTCTGAGTATAATTTGCCTACTTTTTTGATAGGTTTTAACATAGTAATTTGTGATATGCCCAAGTCTAAACCCAAATTAAAAATTTGTTCTAGTACTTCTGCAATTTTGATGAATTTAATGAGTAATGACTTCGATGCCAAAAGGCAACAGTGAGGGGTTACCTTGAACCACCAAAGTGCCTGGAAGGTGCTATCTAAATTGTTAATATCTTCGAAAGCCATTATAGCCGCTGTTATATGCCCTTAAGTCTATTTGAAGTTTTTAAAATTACCTTAATTACACTTTTTAAATCACTTGATAACTCTTCATATATTTAGTATGTCTGGTAACTAAAGATATACTTTCGAAGTCCACTTACTAATTAGTGAAAAGATTATCGGTAATTCGGTATTAAACTTTTTTGAACTTCTTGCAGGTAATTCCTAATTGAGCCCCTCTTTTCCCCTCAACTCCTACCAGTATGTTCAACATTTCCAGTGGTTGTCAATCTTAGGTTCAAAGGTTCATTATCCCTATGCCTTTTTTGAGTGTTTGAGTATTAGAAAAACCCAATATCCATTGGATATGGGACAAGTGGTAATGGCTGACGGTTCAACCAAGTGCCACTAGGTAATCTCTGAGGTCCAAAGGTAGATGAGGAAGAATTGTAGGTAACTATTTGACTAACCACAAGCAGTTCCAAAGGATCATTAAATACGATAATGACAACGGCAGAGATGTCAACAAATTGTACTTTTGAATTACTACTCAGATGGGTAAGAAAGCCAAGTGTCAAGAAACTCGTATCTTTGCATTATAGATATTTCATCCTTAGATCACTGTACTTATTTGTTTAGTAGTTATTACATCTATTTGATCGTCATGCTATTGGAATTGCTGTTTCCTTGCTTTTCTTTTGTCTGTTGGATTAAGAAAATATGCAACATGTGATAATGGTCCTACTGCCAGAGTCATAGTTCTGTCACCGCCGTGTGCAGATTTGGTATACCCAAACTGCTGTATGTTTTCTTATTTRCCGCACCCAAAAAAGCAGCTAGCACCTCTGCATCTTTACTATTTTCTGTTTGACTTCTCATAATTTCTGCTGTTTTCTGTCTCACAGGATCTAAGCATTGATGATCTGGAGACCAAACATTTTGTCCTTGTTCACGGAGGTGGTTTTGGTGCTTGGTGTTGGTATAAAACCATAGCACATTTAGAAGAAGGTGGATTTAGAGTTGATGCTATAGACTTAACTGGTTCGGGGATTCATTCATTTGATACAAACAGCATTATGAGTCTTTTCGAATATGTAAAGCCACTTGCTAGTTTTCTTGAAAAGCTTGGAGATGGGGAGAAGGTTTGCTTTTTTCTACCAAAGTCCTTGACTAAAATTTGCTTACAAGTTTGCATATCAAAATACTGATGTTGAACAAATATTTTAATACTTGAAGCTAAGAATGAATTTTCTATGCTAAATCCAAGTAATTATTTATTTTCCCCATATAATTGGTAGGTAATCTTTTTCCAGTATTAAAGCTGTGCTATTGGTAATTTTCGTTTTACTTGTTTTAAGAATTCTGGATTGAAATTCCTGATGTACAAATATATTGTATACTATACCCTTGATCTCCGTCCTTAAATTGTCATTATGTGGTTGATGGTGCAACTTGTATTGTTCTTGCAATTTGCAAATAAATATTTTATTTTGTTTCTTTCTGGATTATGTAGTCTCAGAACAAGTCATATGAGTAAGCAGATGCATGTTTAACATCATATGATTTTTCTGATATGGTCATTCTTTTGTTCGTTATAATAACCATCTCATAGAGAAGGAAACATCTTAAGACTCCATTTAAGCTCAGGGCGAAATAACTAATGTACCCACTGCTCTCCTACAAAGGCATACCTGGAGTGTTTCACTTTGGCATTTGCTGTAGCATTCTATCACATTAGGTGATTGCTTAGATTCATGTTACTCTAATAATTTTGTTTTTAAGTCCTCACTATCTTTTGTTTAAGATTAGCACGGGGTAATTTTTTATAAACATTAATGAAGAATAAAATTAGTCGTAGTTGGATGCTAAATCTTCAATTACCATTTACTAGTAAGCTATCTTTACCTATCTTTATCCTTTAAACCACTTGGAATGATCCAGGCATCCTCATTTATGTATTTTTCTTTGATTGCTAAGGGCAATATGGAATATGGGGCTGAAATGTAATTTATATTTTCCGTGATGGGATAGGTGGTTTCCTACCAGCTTATACTTGGGATGTTATGGCATGTTGTATATAATATATTAATCTTTCATTCAAACTCAAATCAATAAATTTCACAGCTATTCATTGAAAAAGTTTGTTTTAAAATGTTGCGTCAGGAATACTTATAAAAGATCTTGGTTAAATATGGTCAACAAAAATGAGCAAGATGTATCATTCATCTTGGATTTGTGTGGAGGATATACTTCCACAACATATCATTATTCTATTAGAATGGTCCTGCAGTGGGAGTACTATAGTAGTTTGTTTTCTTATCAGTAGCTGTCAAATTTTATTAGATGGTATTATAAAGAATGCTGTACAAATGATGTAAGCAGCCAAAGCTTCCCTATCATTGGGCCAACCCTTTCTGCCCCCTCCCCCTTTCCTTTTCCTTTCTTATATGACAAATTGTCATATTCCCCTTGTGGGAGATCATTTCCTAATACAATTCCTTGCTAGTATGATGAGAAATAAAGTTTTAATTTGTAATTCTTGCTTTAAAAGTAAAAATTGGTAGAAGATTCATTCTTCTATAAATGTTTATGCAGGTAATTTTGGTGGGACATGACTTTGGTGGTGCATGCGTATCATATGCAATGGAGTTATTTCCAGCTAAGATTGCAAAGGCTGTATTTATTGCTGCAGCAATGTTAACTACTGGACAGAGTACTCTCGATATGTTCTCTCAACAGGTTTGCCTGACATTCTTTAATTTCTGATATTTGATAAGGGGATTAATTAATTTGAAAAACTATGCACAACTATGATCTGTTGAAAGTTGCAATATGAACCTTAAAATAGGACCTCTTTGTGTTATCCAAGCATGGTAACTCTTCAAAATTAAGCAAAGAAAAAGAAATTCTGGTTGTCCCTGAGAATAGGCAAGTTGAGGCAGTGAGGTAGAAAAATGACTAGTTCAATTTCCTGATGCGTAGAGCACCAACAGAATAGACAACTGCAGCCCTTAGCTCTAAATGAGGGCCATTATATTGCTTTGTTCATGCTGATGGAACTGTCATAAATCTGTCCTACTGAAAGGCAAGAAGAATTGTGATGCCTTTGGAACATACATGAGTCATGAGCCGTGGCGTAGCCCTTTACCCGCCTTGATGATTGTGCCTCTTAAACTATTCTAGAACTATGTATCAATACATTTGACCTGGAAAATAGGAATAGTTTCTTATTAGTTTTTCAGGAATAGAATGTAATATTTGGAATTGATTTAGGGAAACTATCAAAAACCTCCATTGGAGTTTTTATAAGGTGATACCAAATGGTTAGTTAGGAATATACTTCCAAAAGCTTTGTTACCTTGCTATTGCAATGTTGACTTATATATTTCTTAAGGACCATTAATGGCTTTATGTTACTCTCAATTACACTGATACTTGTAAGCTGCTGTTATGCCAATACTTCTTTATTTATACAAGCATGCAGAAGAGCAAAATACTCTTATCTAATAGGTTCTTTTTTGAAGTGATACCATCATTTTGTTTTGTCACCCAAAGTAATAGTTATCTAATGGAAAGAGGTTAAGTAATGCTGAATGAAAATTTTAGGGTTGGTTAATGATGTTATAGACAACTTAAGGCAAGTGGTTTTTGCAATTTGCCAATTTATTGTGCTTACTATGTTGTCTAATTTTAACGTTTTTTATTCTTCCAAGTTTGCACCCTTAGTACTTAGATATCTTTAGCTAAATACCAGTTCTTATGCAAATTTTAGTTCATGCGAAAATATAGAATTACAATACATGTCCTATCCGAGTCATTTAAGATTGTAAAACTATTGTGTTTATTATGTGAGTCTTTGGACATATATACAATTTAACGAACAAGTAGATATGGAGATGCATTTGGATGTTTTTTTTTTTTTTAAATTGCTTCTAAAATTATTTCAGAACCTCTAGGTCTTTTATTTTTGTGACAACAAAAAATCTTCTCAAAAGTTGATTAATTATCCTAGCTTTTACAGGCAGATTCAAATGATCTAATGCGATCTGCTCAGATATTTCTGTATGCAAATGGAAACGACCAACCTCCAACAGCTATTGATCTCGACAAAGCTTTATTGAAGGATTTGTTGTTCAATCAAAGTCCCTCTAAGGTATCAAGTTCATGTGTTAACATTTGTTCCCCTGTGCTATGAATTGCTATTAGACCCATTTACAGTTCTTGTCATCAGCTTAGGACAAAGATGTTTAACCTTCAACATAGGAGCATATCGACACAAAGTACAAACCGCCTTGAATCCTTCTGGTTTGCTGTATAAACAAAATGTTTTAACATGCCAATAGTCTGGAAGCTGGTGTGTAGAATCTCATGGCAATGTCACTCCTGCCACAAAACCTTGGATGTGGCTGGACAGCAGATACAAGTTCAAAGTTGGGAGAGGAGTTTAGATCTCCCAAGCCACACCACTGCTGTGGGAACAAAGGGCTCTCTCTCTCTCTCTCTCTCTCTCACACACACACACACACACAAAGATGCTTAGCAAGTATGAATTATAACATCTGATTTTCAAATTGGCATTTAAAATATAGCTTTGGTGAGATATTAGAGGGAGAAAACACAAGTTTGGGGGACACAAATAGAAATAACGCAAGTACATAATCTTGTCTTAGGCCCTGTTTGGTTTGCAGGAATAGGGGTCTGGAATCGGAATTGGAATGGGCTATTCCGATTCTAACTGTTTTGTTGAGCGGAATTGGAATCCCATTCCCATTCCCATTCCCATTCCCATTCCCTGCCCCTCCCTTGGGAATGAAATCCCATTCCTGCTGATTCCAATTTTCATTCCCATTCCTATCTGAGCCAAAACCAAACGGACCCTTACTGTTTGTTGCTTATTTCTATTTGTCTTACTCTTTGCTGGACAAAGGTAGAAAGCGAATGCCTCATAGCCATCTGATATTAACATACTATTAAATCTTTCTTGAATGATATAATTCGTTCTGCATTATTTTCTTGTTTAGATTCAAATTAGTTTCTTAACATTTTCCTGATCCAGGATGTTGCTTTGGCATCTGTTTCAATGAGGCCAATCCCTTTTGCACCTGTTCTGGAGAAGCTCTCTCTATCTGATAAGAACTATGGTTCTGTCCGACGGTTCTACATTGAGACTCCCGAAGATCATGCGATTCCCCTTTCTCTCCAGGAGAGCATGGTAAATGCCAACCCACCAGAACGGGTCTTCCGATTAAAAGGCTCCGATCACTCACCTTTCTTCTCGAAGCCTCAAGCCTTGCACAAATTATTGGTGGAGATATCAAAGATTCGCTTGGCTTGAATAATTGGCTGGCTCATGAAATCACTCCGCCCATATTATAGGCAGATAAGTAGATGAGCGATTGGTTGATTTTGGCAGATAGGTAGATGATGCACATGCAATCATATTGCTTGAGTAATGTACAGGTTTTTCAACCTAACACTCTGATCTGGAGAAGTACCGAGAATATTTTCATCTGTATGAAAACTTTTATGATTGCATGCATGCAACAACATGCATTCATGCCCATTAATTCTTTGCATTTTTTTGAATTACTAGAAGAGGCTCATTTAGGGCACAATCTGGTGTTAAAATTGCCAATTTCCTCTTATATGTAGAGCAGCTGTTTCCTCYGTCATTTTTTTACATAGTTCTTACTCAAAATTTTAAAGCATTTTGAGGAGAGGAGAATGAAATTGCTGATATGAACAAGTGCACGTTCATTCTCAGCCAAGCATTTGTCAATTTTCATGCTAAAGATGACATCTTTTTCTATTTCGTGGTGCTTGTGCTAGCAAACATACACGTCTGATCTGATGTCTCCAGGTCCAGGGGCCGCTAGCTTTGATGCACGTATAAGCACCACTTAAGCCGATAGCATGTTGTGAAACGTATTTTTGTCAATACTCAAAATAAGCACCACTTAACATCGGTCAAATCTTTTTGCTAGAGAATTCCTTGCCATGGACCATGGTAAACCCAATGTTTTCAAAACCGATTCGTCTGAACGGATCAGTTCATGATGTTTTAAAAAAAAAATTAAAAATTAAAATTTGGTAACCATTGTTTGGATTGAACAGGTTCACGGTTTAATCACCCCCAGGTCAGTGGGTTATTGACTAAGGCCCCGGGAACAGAATTGGAATCTCATTCCTATTTCTGTTGGAATGACATTTTTCCATTTGAGGGAGGGGCAGGGAATGGAATCCTATTCCTGCTGATTTTAATTTTTAGTAGAATTAGAATCTCATTCTTATTTCTGCTGGAATGACATTTTTTCATTTGAAGGAGTGGCTATTCTCTGTTATTCTCTGCCCCTCCCTTGGGAATGAAATCCCATTCCAGATGATTTCAATTCTCGTTCTCATCCAACTGTTTGGTTAGGCAGAATTCAGAATTGGAATCTCATTCCCATTTCTGCAGGAATGGCATTCTTCCATTTGAGGGAATGGTTATTCTCTGCCCCTCGAATGAAATCCTATTTCTGCTGATTTTAATTCTCATTCYCATTCCTGTCTGAATCAAACAGATTTTGGAAATAAACCATTCCAATTCTGATTTCAAAAGATTTTGGTTCTGATTCTGCGAACCAAATGGACTTTTAATGGTTATTGGGAAAATAATGGTTGGAGGTGAAACGGAACTGGTACTTTGTCCAGTTGCTGGGTTGAACGGTTTAAGCATTGCTTAATAGTCTAGAATTCACTCTTATTCTAGCTGTTCAAGCATTGAGCCTGCAATTTAAAACTTGCGCATCAGGCTCAATGCTCAAACACTTGATAAGAGTGAATTCTAAGTCTTGAACAAGGTTGTCCCGATCAACCTGAAATGTGCCCTGCAAGATGTACTGGCTGGTTAAATAGGGTCTTCTGCTGGTAGTAGGGGAGACTTGAGAGCAAATCTCACCTGCACCTGGGTTGGGTTGGGTTAGGGGTTATGGGTTTGGGGGATGGGCTACTCCTGTTGTGTAGCCACTTGAAAACCTTACCCACTTGGTGGGGACACCCTAGCTAGAGCTGCAAATAAGTTAGGATTGGATCTGATTTGGATCCGAATCTGATCTGAAAAGAGCCAGAATCGGAAATCTCTCTTGATACTAACAAATTGGATCGGATCAGAAAAGTCGACCATAGTTAACGGATCGAGTTTGGATATACCCTGATCTGATCTGTCACAATCCGATCCAATCCAATCTGTTAGTTATGAAATATTATATATTATATGTTATTTATATTTTATATATTCTATATATTATTTATATAATTATATATCATATATTATAATATATTTTTATATTATATTATTATAATTTTAATTAAATCGGATTCGAATTGGATATTTACAAATAAAAGGAGCATGGTACTTAAGTGCTGGATATTGAAAACAAGGTTCAAAATATCGATATAGGGTGTATTGGCCTGTATCAGTACTGTTTCTTTTTTTTTTTTTCAAATCTAATTCAGAAGAGTCAGTCTACCCCTGAACCACTCGCCGACCCGAAACACCCTCTCTAGAGATGTATCGAAAAGGCTCTGATACATGACTGAAAATTTCACTTGGTACGTTTTAAAATCACTGTGCAGCATGTCGATGGTTCATTAGTTTGAAGTTTGAACCCCGATCTCGGCGCATCAGAAATGTTTCGGAAGTTCTTCTTTATTGTCGATGGGTATGGCTCAGAGATTCAGACCTCAGAGAGTTGTATTGTGCGTCCGACGGTGATACCAAGTTTTGTTTACATGCAATAGGATTTTAGCCCATATTGAGGGACTGCTAATATTCTCGTTATCCATTCAAAAAGTAGATGGGCAGGGTTTGTCACTAGTCTTATTTGCAAATTTGCACCATTACAGCGATAGAGCTGAATGTGAAAGAAACTATGATGGAACCGATAATTGGCACTAAAGACAACCAGTTAACTCAACCATGGTCCATACTTCTCATGGGATTGCGCCTCCCAACTACCAGAGTTGGAGATGTCTATTCCCTCTGAAAGCTAGGTTGCGTAAACACACTGAGAGCCCAGGTGCTGGAATCCAATGTTATATACTTCTATCTCTTGATGGGTCACAAGAAAGAGCTAATGATGGTTGGTTTCTGATTCTGAAAAGAAAAGCCAACTCGATTAGGGTATATCAATGATTGGCATTAATTAAATGGTTAACCTGCCATCATCTGACCTTAGAGGGTTGGGTTCATGATAGTTAGTGGTGTCAACATTATTCGAAAATTCAATTTTGAATTCGACATAATCCAATCAAATTCTCCTAATTGGTCCAACTTGGATATACTATTCATATCAAATAKTTAATCAGATTCGAGTTTGAATATGGCCTAATGTGATTCAATAAATATCTAAATTTGACCGGTTATTTAGTTCTTATATATAATATATAAAATATTTAAATGTTTTATATAATTTATATATAAAATAATTACCTAAAATAATTAATTGGTCGAATTTGAATATTCAAATATTTAATCAAATTCAAATTTTAATTTTAATTTTTAATATCTATTGGATATTGAATTGAATTCGGATATCGGATTCGATCTGTTTATACCTCCCTTGGTCGGGTTTCAGACAGGATTCAACTTGCGTTGGGTTTAGGTTAAGGCATTCTTGTACCAAATTAATTGGTATCACCAAGTTATAGTTTTCTTAGTTTTCCATATTGTCATTGGTGAAGTAATATTATTTTTATTAAGTGGTAACGGCCCATTACTTGGTGTAATAGTAAAATTTCATTCTAGCAAGCATGAGGAGGCCCAATTTTCTTTTTGGTAAGCTATTTACTTAGGTAAGTGTGTTTATCCATATTCTTTTATTTCCCAAGTAAATAATATAATGATTGTTTTAGCCCTAAAAATCCATTGTTAAAATGGGCAATTTTGTCTCATCCAAATGTTGACAACGTTCCCTTAGGTGGGAAAGTTACTTATCCACGGAGATTACTCGGGGAACATAAAATTTTCATAAACCCCACATAAATCTGAAAAAAGAGCACAAGTATATTGGTCAATGTGAATCAAAATCTCTTAAAGTCTAAGGGCCAGCCACTTTGTGTGAGAAAATGCAAAAGCCCAAAGGTTAGAATTGTATCCCATATATCCCTCTCAAGACCCTAGGTATGTGGGACCAACATTGGGTAATGGCATCAATAGTCAGTGATATTGTTTTATATAAATCTCCCATCTTTGTTAGTAGAAGGTTTGGAAATGTGATTTTTTGTGCTGAAGTTTAAGCAAAATCCAAAGCAGTGTTTATCATAAGCCACTTACAAATCTACATCAGTGATAGATATTTCGAATAGAATATTCACAAAATTTCTATAATGAGTGGCATAGTACAATTGAATGTTTTGTGAATGTTAACTTTTTCCAAGAATAGGGATACTACTGTTTATGGGCAAGGTTCGAGTGATTAAAGTACAGAATAATAGAAAGACCATTTTAAGAGATGTATTAAGATACGCTTTGGATGAACATGAACACAATATTTTTTTGTTAAATATAAAAGTTAAGATATAACAAGGGAAAATCTATGATGCGGGAAATATATGGTATGAAAAGAGTTTTGTCGAATCAAAACCCATCCATTAATTTTGATAAATAACACCTTATTCGCTACCACATTTATTAGATACCATATCTTTTCCATATCATAATCGAACCCAAAATGAATACACTTAGAAAACTCAAACAAATCCAGCCAACCATGCGAGGGCTTCCCTGGGAAAAGGTTTGCTTCATGGCCTCCTTTTGGGTCCTTAGTAGGTTGTAGATTATTTTTTATTAGATGTGATAGTCATAACTCACAACAAGTTTCTACCAAACTATTCTCTAAAAAAGGGGAGGCAAAAGAGAAATGACGGACTAACTACCTGAAGGTCCACCTGCCTAAGTTCTAGTAGGATTGTATGAAAGAACTTAGTGGTTATTCTTTTATAGTCTTCTCCAATTTGTCACTGAAGGAATCTTCACTTGTAAACGCTTCAAGGGATATCCCTTTCATTAATTAATGAATAATCATTTAAAAATCATCATTAGATCCACACACAATAATCGTGTTAATAGAATCTCACTCTTAAAAGACTCAACTCATGCCTCCATTAAAATATACAGATTATGTGTTGTTAAAATGCTATTGGTCAGTAGATATTAGAGAACTAGTTATAACTATTGAATCAAATTGATTTGCGCTAGTACAAATGCATGGGAATACAAAATGAAAAAAAAAGCAAATTCTTATTTAATTTTGTTTTGGGTTTTATTTTATTTTGCTTCATGCCTTAATTTATTTCATTTGTACTACAAGCGAACAAAATAAACTAAAATTTGAAACAAAAATAAGTAAGAATTTATAATTTTGTATTAGTACAAATTTATTTGCATAACTAACAAATTCATAGCCAAACAAAGGGTATCTTCATTTAAACTCATGTGAGATTTCGATTGGTTGAAGTGTTTCAGGTATGATTCCCTTTCAGTACATGGAGATTGCCATTGAAAAATGGAGATGGAGTTGGTGAATTGTGATTTTATAAATATATAAACAACCGGGAATCCATGCATTATGGCCCAAAGAAGCCCCACATGTTCCTCTTACCACCCACTACTCTATTAAGTATTAATGGAGCAAATTTAATCCCAAAACACTTGCCACGTGTCCAAAACAAGCATTTCTTAGTGGGTTTGTTTTGAATTAAAAATTAGAATATCAAGTTAACACTCATTAACCATGTGGCGAATCTTCTGAATTTTTTTATTTGATTTAGGATGCTAATTAGGGTTTTCTTGTTTAATCAAAGAATGCGACCCACATCAATTTAGTGTTTTGAAAGCTTTTGCACTTCGGGTTTTTTTTTTTTTTAATTTGAGTTAGCTAGGAAGCTAAGTAAATTTTGATTTGTCATTGATTGATAGTTAGAGTGGGACCCACCCATCTATGAATTACATAAAATTTATAAAATGAAGTGTGGATTAAATACATGGCCCATCTAATCCCTAATCCATATATGTGAATGTGTGACATAAACAGGATGGGCCATGCGCACGGAAGAAAACTCCCAACTTAACTAAACTTCTTCCTCTTCTTCTTTTTTTTTTATTTAATTAATTAGGATTAAGAAACTTGAAAGGTAGTCATTTTCTTTTTGCAAAAAAAGGGAAGCAGCTTCATTACTATGGAACTAACTGTACAGTTGGCCTTTACAAAACTTGGGCTTGGTGCAAAGGGCCCACCTAATTTCCAAACTAAGTGGTCCAGATCATTATACCAACAATTGGTGGGTCTCTTGGAAATTAACTGGGCCAATATTTAATCCGCCAAGAGAACTCGGATCTGCTACCCGAGACGCTACCTACACATACCCGTGAGGCATTACAGCCCGGCATTGAGATTTGAGAGCATTCCCCACGAATGACAAGTGAGATGCTTCCAACATGAGTTAATTAAGAAACTGGTATTTGGATATGCTCCTCACGGAGCGCACAACTGTGCATTAGGAACATTTTACTATGAATTAATATTTTTAAGAATGAAGATATTCTACATGCACGGCTAAATGAGGGACAGATCTGAATTCTTTGGATTAGAGCTCAATCTTTTACCCACAAATTATTCGCATGTCCCAACACCCTATCAACATGATCTGATACTGTATATTTCATCACCGGATTGAAACCCACTATAGAAGTGAAACCCTCTCATCACCGGATTGAAACCCACTATAGAAGTGAAACCCACCCATGTATAAGATGTACGGTGTGAGATCATGTTGGTGGGGGTGTTGGAGCGTGTTTTGTCCGTAGATTCCAACTCCCATAAAAATGCTATTACAACCGGGAAGATGTCTCCATGAATGATAAATTGATAATTGAGGGTCTGAGATGTTTTCAATGTGCGGCTAATAGGTACCAGATCCGGATTATTTGGATCCGCATCATGCAATTATTGTGTTTACCAGAAGGAACAGAAAAAGTAAAAAGAAAGCAGGAATTCACGGTTCCGATTACTCTACATTTTAAGAGGAACAAAATCCATTGGATTCGGGCCAGCCTGTCAGCGGGCACCGACTTCATGACTCACGCACATCAACAACTTTGGGATCAGCGGACCCGACGTGACCATCCACCCACCCATTCCTTTCCTTTTTCTTTTTCTCTGTTTCTCAAAATTTTGAATAAAACACCTGAACCCGCTCTTATACCAAATACTTCCTAAAATGACCTAAATGCCCACTGACGCCTACCGATAGGCAACCGCCCCGTTCGTTTTCCAGTCAACGATAGGACAATTTAGAAAAAGGAGGGATCAATATTGATCACGACAATCAGATCGTCAACCGGCAACCGCTTGAGATTTGCCCTTGGAGAATTGAAAGCGTTCGAATGGATGTAATATAAATAATCCCCAACTTCTCTCTCGCCATTTTTCGTAGGTCTCTTTCTCGCTCGTTCTCCTTCTCTGCTCGTCTGAGGGAATCTACGTTCATCTTCCTGGTTCATATCCGACGAACCAGGTGCGAAACCCTAGATCGCAGATTCTCTTGTTAGGTTCGGCTGTCTGTTGAGTTTTTTCTACTATTTTTACCGTGTTATCTCACTGAGAATGTGTTTAACTGTAAATTTTAGGGTTACAAACATTTTGCTTTTTTTTTGTGCATTTTCTTTCAATGGTGTTTAATGTTGTCGATCTGATTTTTTTTTGGGTGCATTTTGAGTAGATTTGTTGCTTTTTCTAAGGATGATTTTGGTTTTTTCTTTCTCCTTTTTTTCAGAGATTACATAGTTTTAATGCCTTTCTCTTGTTATCTCGAAAGCGTTTTTTTTTTTTTTTACATATTTCACTTTTAGGCACCGAAAGGAATGAACTCAAAAAAATCTGTTTTTTTCTTTTGAAGATTTTATTTTGTATGTATTTGTATATGTGCATATTTGTATTTGTACTCCTTCCAAACTGAGCCTTAGGGGATCTTCCTTAGGTTAAAAAAGAAGCCTGCATGCAGGAGTATACAGTACAGGCCCATGCCTTGTTGTTTTAGTGGAATTCAAGGTTTGAACTTTTCCAAAGTTCAATTTCAGAAGGATGCCTCCTGTCGGTATTGCATCATACATTGATATAATAATTGAAACGAGTTAAAATCTCTCGTGCATATTTCTTGGTTGTTCACTCGTTCTTTTAGATTACTTTTTGAGGCGAGGCTACATTTGTTGCTTATTTCTCAACCTTTGCCCTTTTTTTGAGGCGATACTACATTGTGTTTTTTCATTTATTATACCACCGCCATACCAGGATGCAAATACTTGTGATATGGTTTGATTTTTTTGTTGTGATACTACTGCTTTGGGATCTTGTGATGCTTAGATTCATTGCTTCATATGCTACATTTCCACCATCTATTTCCGTTCTTGCTTCTGCACCATCTCATTTCTGCTGTTTATGCTATACATCAGTTCCATTCTGGTCATATTCAGAGACCTGGATCTGTTGGTGTAAATGTGTAATAGCTTGTGGAACTGCTGAATTTGTCCATGGCTCAATGACTAAGATTATCCCAAAACACTACAAATTTACTAAGAAAAGGAAAAATATTACAAAGAAAATTGGTTCAATTTAGAAGTTTGATGGCTGAACTGTCTGGGTTTCTCAAATATTCAATCTTTGGCATTTTGAGATTAGGATTGATTTACCTGGCCAACATAGGATGGTTGATGGCCTGAGTCTGGTAGGTTTTTTTTTTTTTAAACATTTCTATTTAATGTGGGAAATTGACTTAATAGGTGATGCCCTCTTTCAAGTTTTGTTTATTTTATGTGCAGAATATAGCCCCCTCCAAATTCTTAAATCAGTGCCTTTTATTTTGTGGCTGGGAGTGTGCGTTTCTGCTTATTGAATGCACCATCAAGTTTCACATTACCATTTATATTCATATTTGTATCTGTTGATATTCTGTGCAGTGTCCCAGTATTCTAACTTAAACCATAGAAAATGGGTCGTGGAGTGAGTAGTGGTGGAGGCCAAAGTTCATTGGGATACCTGTTTGGGGGTGGCGAGGCACCAAAACCAGCCACCAATCATGCTCAAGATGCTCAGAACCAGGGACATGGTGCAGGTAATGGACCCACCCAGAAGTCTACTCCTGCACCAGTTGACAACAGTAAGCAGATTCCAGCTGGTATCCTGGGGAACCAAGCAAACAACTACTTCCGTGCAGATGGCCAGAACTGTGGGAACTTCATCACGGTATGATCATGGCTAAATTGCATTTGTATTAATTCCCTGCCATAGATTTTAACATTATTACTTAAATCACATTGTCTTGTGGTTCAGTTTTAGATAAACCACAACTTGGTCATAGGCCTTGACTGCCCTCTTTCATTTTCCTTTTCTTTTGCTGGGTGGTGGATTTTATTTAGAAATAAACCAAAGCTTCAATACCAAGACCTGTTGCTTAGAAAAACTCAGGTCGCAAAAGATAGGGCAACTACACTGAGGTGTGAGGTGTTCATTGTGTGGCTTTGGGTTGGTTATGGTTGCTGTGTAAGGGTCTTTTGGATGTGCCTCTTTCTCGGGTGATATCTTATCACTTTTCTTTTGTAAACTCTTTTTTCTTTTAATAAATCTTTTCTCTGATTGTTCAAAAAAAAGAACAGGGATTAGGATCATATACTAACTGATCCATCTATTCCTGAAATTATCAGCATAGAAATTTCTCTTTTTCGTACTTAGCGTACTATACTGCTTTATGCAAGCTTCAGTTTATTTAGGAATGCTATTTTTCTCTTTGTCTAATGGAGTCTTGTATAGTTGTATGTGATAATAAATGTTAAGCCAGTGTTGTGTGATTGATTATTGACAACTACATCATTTTATTTTGTCTATGTTCTTCCTAGTCCCTACCAAGGAAAAAGTGATTAGGACATCTCAGCCCTTGTCCTAGTTAGAGCTCAACTGTGTTTGCCATGGGTCACATGTGAGCTGAGAACTGATTGTTTTTATGATTAAAAGCTTTGGGTACAAGTCTGAGGCTGAGAGACCCTTCGGATATTCTAGTTTGGGTGTTTGGAGTCTTTGATATTGTAAGGTGGAGAATGGGCAGTTCTCAGTGGCATCCTTACATGGCAACTTGATTGAAGGTATTCACTTGTAGAACTGTCTGTCCTCCACCTGTTTCATCTAATATTCACTTTTATAACTTAGATGGCTGCATGGGGAAGTCTTTTTTGATCATTGGGGAAGTGTCTTGCTATGAATAAACTCGTGGTTAGACGAAAAGACACCCCTTGTCCTGGGTGTGTAATGTCCTACCTTGGAAACCTMTGATCATTTGTTCACCTGTTGCTCTCTATCGGCTATAAGATGATCAAAGAAGACTGACTTGTTCCGTCAAAAATCTCTTGAAAAGAGGGAAGCTGGTTTAGTTTTCTGTTCCATCGGCTATATATGTTGGTCTGTGTAGAAATGGTGCAGTTCCGAGATGGGATTAGCTGAAAGCAATATCTGTTAGCAGGCTGTGGAAGTGTGGAACCAATGATAACACTAACACTACTGATAAAATACAGGGGGCCCACAACCATTCAACCTCACTGTGGGCTCCATATGTTTTATAACTGGTGTGAGGAGTTATCATTAGTTCCCAAAGCCTTGTACGCAGCCATCACGTTCAGCTAATTTGAATTATGCAATTCCAGGGTGCAGCAAGGTGTCGGAAGTTGAAATCTACAATAGAGCAGTAGTAGCTTCAGCTAGGGGTGTCAATGGACCGGTTTTGGGTTGGACCCCGTTGAAATCAAAATCCATTTGGACGGATTGGATGGACTGAACAGACCAATATGATATATTGGATTGGACCTGGTCTGTCCATAATGAATTTATATTGGATTGAGCCAATATCCGGTCCATTGATAGAAGATAAGAACATAGGTGTCAATACTGGACCGGATTGGACCAAATCCATTCCAATTGACACCCCTAGCTTCAGCCATCTCTTGGCTTTTTGGTGTTGAAGTGTTTCAAGGGATGTGCCAAACGGCATTGTATTTTTCTGGGATTTCCTCTTTTACTTTGTCTTTACTGTTTCATCACCTGGTCTGTACGATCCCTTGCTGTATTTGGACTAATATGTGCAGGCAATCATAAATCGTAGCTAAGGGTAGTTTTATAGGGGTGTGAACCATACAGTACCTATACCTGCCCAACCTGTGTGTTTTGGGCCATAATTGTCAAACTTTAACATAAAGTCAACGTTTTTGAACTGCCATTGACTTGGATGGTCAGACCTTTTGACCTGGGAATGTCTAGACAAACCGGTTCTGTTTTATCCAAAACCTGATCCCTGGCTAAAAAACTGTTGAATCAGTTAATGACCCATTGACCCTGGCTGTCAAACTGGTGACCCGTTTGAGCAGTTTAACAGTTTTAATCATTTTTTTTAATTATTTTTTTTTTAATTTTTGTCAGAATGAACTGTCTGTTCAGACCGGGCGGTCGAACTGTTGACTCGGAAACTAGTGGCCAGAACTGTTTTGGTTCTGGATTGTTTTTTAAAACATTGCATAAAGTTTATTCTTTTCTTATGAAAATTATGAATAATTATTAAAAAATTATGGTTATGGAACCTAGGGAAGTAATAATTATTAAAGCATACTTACCATCTTTTGTCTATGGTACAGGATCGGCCTTCTACCAAGGTTCACGCTGCACCTGGCGGTGGATCTTCCCTGGGTTACCTCTTTGGTGGTGGGCCTGGTGGCAACAACTAATGCCGTTTCTCCTTGAGATCATTGAACTATTGTTTACTGTTTGTCTAGAACTCATAGTAATTTGGAAGAAACAATATTCCATCCAGCCTTGTCCTATATAGACACTGAACTGTGTGATCATGTGATGTTAATATATATAGCCCTGTTCTTGTGGGAACGCTTGTGACTGGATTTGCTCCGAAGGATAATGTGATTAGAAGCAAAAATATCCACCAGCAAGCTTAACGTTAAACGACTTTTCTATTTTCTGTTCTGCTGATGCCTTTTATTTTGTTTTAATGTGGATACTGTTAAATGTATTTTCTGCAACATGATCACATTTAGCCGATTGACGTGGCAATTGTATTGTTCCGAAAAACAGAACCATGTTGCCGGAACTTCCTGGATTGGTTTTAGTAGGTTTTGCACTTGCGAGTTTTTGCTTTTCTAACCCCCTTTTGTCAAGTTCAGTGAGGCAAATGTTCTACGACGTATATTTTATTTTAGTCAGTTGCCCTTCAATAGGGTTTGGAGGTAAGCCTGAGCTGAGATCACAAATAGATAGACAACTGCAACTCTGCAAGCAGCCAACCTTTGTATGATGCTATTATTATTTCTTATAAGAGGGAAAACGCCGGAAAACCCGATTCCTAGAATAGCTCTATCAGATTACGGCTTAGAATTTTATGGTGCTATCTCCTGCCCCACGCTCCCGGCAATTGCAAGTTGCAATTCATGTTTTCAATTCCTAGCCGTTCGTTTAATTTGCCCAAAGGTTCTAAATATCGATATGTCCGACAGGGCATCAGTAATTTTTTTTTATTTATTATTATTTTTTTAAATCGATTCAGGGGCTGGTTTAAGATTCCTCCACCCCCTGAACCGGTCAAAATCCTGATACAGGCCAACACATCGACACTTTGAACCTTGAGTTTGCCCCTTTGAGATTTAATAAAAGAATAAGATGGGGTTGGGAAGTATTTATTTGAAAAACAATTGATTAAAAATAAGTTTTAATAAACACTCGTGCGTTTCAGTGAAAAGGCACCTATGTCAAATAATAGGGGTAGTACAAGTCTTCAAAATGATTAGTGGGCCAAAAGCCGGCCAAGAAGTAAGTAAACTCTTAATAATGAGCCCAAAATTTGGGTTTCTCAAATAAATGCTAATAAACACTTTTTCGGGCTTATTTCCCGTCCCGGTCCAAAATAAGCAGTGCTCCCAAACTTGGCCCAAGTAGAGGGGAAATATCGGATGCAGCACCTTCATCCTTCAACAGTGCACGGGGAGATCTTTTCTGTAAAAGATGTAAGGGACTTTAATACTATTTTTCCAAGTTAAGCAGGGATAAATCGTAATTTTTATTGAATGAACAGAAGATGAGATAGGTGATATTTCCTAAATTTACAGATGCAACATTCTTCAACTGATTAAGGATCTTTTTTTTCCCTTTTGGTAATGGATCATGAGAGTCTACACAAATCTGGGGGGAGCCCTTCCCCAAGTGGGAAATTTACCCAAGGTTACATCAGCAGAGGAATAATCAAGATTAAGGAACCTCTTCATACAACATCAGAGTTTTAGGGCCAATCAATTTTTCTTAGAACCTGAGCATTTTCAGTATGCTTGTTTCTGTGATCGGCCTCTGACATTGGTTTCTGGGATGAACTGGATACGTTTGGACCATTGAGCCGTTTATGCTCCCATAGCCACCACTGCAGACCATCTCCCGCACTGTTAGGAATTTTCTGACGATGCTGGAGAATGCCATTGCTCGAGGCATCATGTTCTTTGGTGCCCGGTGCCCAGCCATATGTTAGATCTACCCTGAAAAAATAGGATTTCCTAATTTCCCATGAAAGTTGCTGTAAATATGACATGGGAATCAATTTACAAGTTATAACCACACAATCATTGGCACCACTTGGATTAGAGCCTGAATACCTAAGAATCAAATTGATTTGTTCTTAGTAACAGTGAACTTAAAAAAAATGGTCCACAGAAAATGTCCCATCGAGATCATATATTGGTGCAATCTCAGCTGCTTGTTAAAATGCCAAAGGCACATGCCATTTAGATAGATCATACCAATGTGATTTGACGATATGTATTTATACAATTGTAATTAACTGGGAGCGTCGGGGCAAGTAATTTATCATTCATACCTTAGTTCGGAGGCAAAGAAACCATGTCAACAGCACCTTGATTATTTGCACCATCATCTTTTGGATATGGAGGAGGTTCAGCTGAAGGTTCCAAGTTTTTATAGACCTGCTGAAAATGCTCAAATTTAAGAAATGCAATATCAAACATTTCACACATTGATTGAGCCCCTAGATGCACATAATGGTTAGTTCCAGCCCTTCTAGGCTACAAAAAGGATTTTACTAGCTACCATCTGAGAGGGTTTAGCCATGGCGATCTGGCAGTGAACCCCAATGATGATCTGAACGGACCATGGATGAGTCATGTTTTTGGGCTCAAACCACTTCAGATTTATGCATGATATGAAAGTAATACTGATATTTTCAAACATAAACTCATGCATCTTTGCTTCAAGAAATAATATAAAATGAAGTTAGTTATTTTGTACAATTTGGTGGGTTTTGCAAGAATTAAACAGTAGCAAATTTTCAAACCCATGCGTCCAATATCTTTTGGTTGTGGCAGTAACTCATCTTCAATTTGCAAATGCTGTCATTTTTTTTTTTTTGTGAAAATAAGGGTGAGCAATGGGCTAGAAATTTGAGACTGTTGGTGAGCTTCTTTGAGAAAGTGACAAACCTCAATGTGAATCTAAACAAGAGTAGTTGCGGGGTTTTAATATGGAGCAAGAGGAGTTAGGGTTGTGGGTAGGGGAATAAGGTTGCTTGATAACTAATTGGCCAATGAACCATTTAGGACTTCCTCTTGGTGAACCTTGACCTTCTGAAACCCGGTATTGGAGAGGTTTGAAAAGAAATTTACAACATGGAAGAGGAATTATATTTCTCTAGGGGGTAGGATAACATTCATCAAGTCCACATTAGCAAACCTTCTGGTTTATTTCCTTTGGTGTTTAGCATGTCCCAAGTCATTCTAAAAAGGATTGAGAAATTATGAGGTGCTTTCTATGAGAACCAAGGGAGGAAAAGAAAGATCACCTAATCAGGTGGGAAGTTGTGAGCCAAGGCAAGGAATGTGGTGGCTTGGGTTTAGGAAGATTGAACGAAAAGAATGTGGCTTTGCTAGGTAAGTAGTTGCGGAAATTCCTGTGTGAAACAGATAAATTGTGGCAAGCCCATTCCGATACTTTCTCTTGTGCTTCCTTCTTTGAAACCTTATCTCAACCTTCTGCCTCTAGTGGTCTGTCTTTCCCTGTTAAAGAGGTGAGCAAACCCATTCTTCCTTGGGTTGGTAGTTTTTGTTGGGAAACATTTTTGGAAAGTTCATTCATCAAAAAAAACATTCTTGGAAAGAATTAACACAGGTGACTTGCTTCAAAGAAAGAGACCCAATTCTTGTCTATCCCCACACATGTGTATTCTCTGCAAAGTTGATGGGGAAACTCGTTGCCACCTATCGATTTCTTGCATATTTGCTAGAACTATTTGGGAATGGCTTTTCTCCCTTTTTGGGTGCAGCTGGACCCCCCTCCCCCTGAATGTGCAAAGCCTCTTCTCTCCTTACTTTAGTTGGCCTTTAAAAAGAGGGGGAATTATGTGGAGATGTATTAGGGCTGCAGTCTGTTGGTCTATTTGGGAAGAAAGAAACACGTACCTTCTCAGAAAAGGAAAGAACCATTGAGAATGTAAGAGTTGATACACTTAAGGGTGGCTCACTGGCTGAAATCCCTGAACCTATTCACAATTTTCTCCTTGGATGACTTGCTGAGAAATTGGTTAGAGATAGCTAATTCTTTTCAGGTTAATAAGGTTTCTTTTCCCTCTTGGACCTCTCCCCCCTTGGATCCATAAAGCTGAATTTTGATGGCAGTAGTTTAAGGAACCCAGGGCTCTCTGGTACGGGGGGAGTGTTTAGGAATGAGGAAGGGCTTATTATAGCCATGTTCTTAGGCCCTCTAAGAAAAGTGGTTATTGAAGGTGACTCAGAGGTGGTGGTGGGATGGTTAAATGAAGATAACTCTGGCATCTGGAACTATAACAATGAAAAGAAAATGTTTAAGTGGCTGATTAGGGACATTGAGGTGAAATACAGTTGGGTAAAGAGAACTGCTAACTCACTTACTGATGGGTTAGCCAAGCAAGGGGTGAATAGGGGATCTTTCTTTTGGGCTCATTTCTAATTTTGTATCCTTTGTTTTGCTCTAGTAGGGGAGTTATTAAAGTTCATCTCCCTCCCCTCTTGTAATTAAAGTTTCTTATTCTTAATAAATTATGCCGTTGCTGATAAAAAAAGATGATGGTTAGCATTCATGGGCTCTCTAAGAATGGATGGGGTGCCAAAGTGTCCAACAGAGCTTCTAGTGCTTCTCCTTGGAAAGCTATTCATAAGATCCTCTGGTTGTGTCCTTTCCAGTTAAAGAATGTGGCTTGGGTAAAGCTATTCATAAGAATTCCTGTGGGTGGGTGAGTTTCCATTAAAGGATTTGTTCCCATCATTGTTTGCTCTTTCTTCATTCAAAGGAAAGCCAAATTTTGAGTAATTAACTCCCTCCCCCTCCAGTTCTGGTTTTGGGTGGAATTTGGGTTTTTGCAGGAATGTAAGAGATACAAAATTAGGTTGTGTCTCAAATCTTTTACAAGTTCTTAATGGGGTTTTCCTTGATGATAGTAAAGGAGATTGTTGTATTTGGTCTTTTCATCCTTTAAGGGTGTTCAACTATGCCTCTTTTTTCAAGTTTGTCTTCTTCAGCTCTCTCCTCTATATTTTTCCCAGTTAAAGAGGTTTGGTGCCATCCTATCCCTCCCAAAGTGGGTGCTTTTTGCCAGGTCTTCCATGGTGCTATTAATACTTGTAACTTGTTGCAGAGTAAGAGACCTGGTTGGTGCCTCTCCCCAAACCGGTGTATTTTGTGTAAATTTAATGGTGAGACTGCTTATCATCTTCTAATTTCCTGCCCCTTTTCTTGTGGTATTTGGGATTGTTTTTTTTTTTTCTCTTTTTGGGTGCAGGTGAAACACTCCAAGTAGTTTGGTCAAGTTCTTTGACTCTACTACTTTTAGGTGGCCAAAAAGAAGGGGGGGTATTGTGGAAATGCACAAGGCTAGTAGTGATTTGAACAATATAGGAGGAAGAAGTGTCCCACTCTTCCTCAATCATATCAGATTTGATCTTAATTTAGGTAGCAAAATTAAATTTTGGGAAGACTTATGGGTGGGTGAAACTCCTTTGAAGGATTCCTTTCCTTCTCTATTTGCCCTATCTTCTCTTAAGGGCAAACCGGTCTATGAGTTTTTGTTCCCTTCTCCTTTAGTTAATGGGGTTTGGGTGGAACCTAGGCTTTCGTAGAAATGTGAGGGATTCAGAATTGGGCCTTGTTTCAAACCTACTACACATTTTTGAAGGGGTTTTCCTTAACATAAACAAATAGGATGTTAGAATTTGGACTCTACGTCCTTCTGGGGTATTCAGTTGTGCTTCTTTCTTCAAGTCTTTGTCCTCGTCTTCTGAACTAGTTGTGTCCTTTCCTATTAAAAGTTTGGTGTTGCCCATCCCCCCATAGTGGGTGCCTTTTCTCGGGAGGTTTTCCATGGTGCAACTAACACTTGCAACATGCTCCATAAGTACAGAGAAAGAGACCTAGCTGGTGCCTTTCCCCAAATTGGTGCTGTTTTTGTGAGTCTAACGGTGAATCTGCTCATCACATTTTTATTTCCTGCTCATTTGCTTGCGGTATATGGGATTGGTTTCTCTCTCTTTGGATGCAGGTGGAACACCCCAGACAGATTGGACAGGTTGTTTGATGTCTCTACATTCATCTGGACAAAAAGAAGGGGAAGACTTCTGTGGAGGTGTACAAGGGCAGCAGTGATCTGGACTTTATGGGAAGAAAGAAATAAGCACATCTTTGAGGAAAAAGAAAAGGAGCAAGGAAGCCTTAATTGAAGGGATCATGGCAAAAGTGTCTCTCTGGGTTAAGTCATTGGAGTTATTTTCAGCCTTTAGATTTGATGACTGTCAGCACCCAAAAATCGGGTGCTGACAATGACATAATAAGGAAGTGGGGAACAATTGCAACTTCAACTTCAGCCAAGAAGAAGTTATTAAGGGTTTGGGACCCCCCTGAGTTAGAATTCCTGAAACTAAATTTTGATGGAAGCAGATTTTGGAATCTGAGCCCGTCTGGAATTGGAGGGGTTTTAAGAAGTGAAAGTGGAGCTATTGTGGGTATGTACTCAGGCCCCATTGGAATGAGCGATTCTGTAACAGAACTGAATGCAGTGCTCTATGGGATGCAAAAATCCATGGAGATGGGGGTTGAGAAAGCTAGTAGTTGAAGGAGACTCCAAAATAGTGATAAGCTGGCTGAAACAGAAAGAGAAAACTCCTTGGTTTTTCAGGAATGAAATTAAAATCTTCAGGAATTTTTCAAGGAACATGCTCTTGATAACTCAGTGGACTCCAAGGTCAGCCAATGTTCTAGCTGACCAATTAGCAAAACAAGGGGTAAATATGGAACAGTGTTTTTGGGCTCAGTTGTAAGACTAAAAGATATTAAAACTGTTTTTGTTTTTTCAGGGAGGTAGCTGAGGCTACCTATGATTTGGATGAAGTCACTGAATTTATTCTCAGACTTTACCCGTGATGATATAATTAGGATGTGGGGCATAGTTACAGCCTCATCATCATCAAAGAAGAAAATTTAAGAATTTGGGACCCAGCTGAGAATGACTTCCTTAAAACTTAGCTTTGATGGCAGTAGATTTGGCAATCTGGGCCTTTTTGGAATAGGAGGGGTAATAGGGATGAAAATGGAGTAATATTGGGCTTGTTTTCAGGGCCGCTTGGGGTAGGGGACTCAACAACAGCTGAATTGAAGGCAGTGGTTTTTGGGGTACAAAAAAGCTGGGGAATTAGGGGTGAGGAAGTTGATAGTCGAAAGAGATTCAAAAGTAATCTTAAGCTGGCTGAAACAAAGTGAAAAGACTCCATGGTGCTTCAGGAATGAAATCAAAAAGTTTAGGATACTTTCAAGGGATATGCAGTTGATTTTTTAATGGACCCCAAGGTCAGCCAACAGTCTAGCAGTTCACTTAGCAAAGCAAGGGGTTAACAGAGAGCAGTGTTTTTGGGCTAAGTTGTAAAGTTACAAAGATGAAGTTTCTTTCTGTTCTTGCTGCTTTTTTGTTAAGTCTGTATGGGGGATAGCTGAAGCTACATAAAAGTTGTAATATTCCTCTCTTAATTAATAGTTTTTTCTAATGCAGATAAAAGAAATATTTCAGTTGTGCAATATATTGCTGGTTCAGTCTAAGCTTGGATTTGCAAGACCTGCACTACTTTAATTGACAAGACCATTTACAAGCAGTTGGATACAAATGACTGGGTGCACTGCTGGAATCAACAAGACCATCTGCTATGGTAAATAGAAAGGTATAGGATATTAATAGTTGGATACATGGAATTTGGATTAGCAAGAATTTATCATGGTAGACTGCTAGCTACTGCGATATTTTAGGAAAAGTATAGAACTGCTGTATGAAGCAGTCTAAAGGACTTCCCAATTAACACAAGGAGCACAAGACTAACACCATGGGCATGGAACATCAGCAGGGATTGGATTGTTTTCCTTAGTCATGTTAGCAATTTTCAATTGGGGCTCCTATAATGTTAATTCCTTCCCAAGAACATCATCTGTTCATTCAAGATCTATTACCTGCTGGTCAATGGGCTTAGCCATTTTTGTTCCAGGCTCGTCACCATCATTCAATTTAATACCACCAACCTCCAAACCTGTCCTTTTCCTGTCATGCATACAGTATACCCATTTGAACCAAATTTTGCAGCAATGCAGCTAACTGCAACCAAGGTTCTCGGAAGGAGAAAGAACATACAAAATAACTTTATCCTCACCTGCTGAGGTAGTCATTAGCTGCATGGGAAAGGGTCGGCTTAAAAGAAAACAGTATCCCTCGAAGAGTCTTTCCATCAATATTAGTTTCAATTGCATATCCACAATTAAGAACATCAGTAACCTTAGCTTCAAACATCTTTTCTTCAAGACGGGTAAAGTCATTCAATGGAAGAGTCTGTTTGTCTGCACCCAAATGGCATCCTATCATCAATCCAGAAGTTGTGATAAACTTTTAAATAAAAACTCGGTTTTTTATGTGGTAGTACTCACTATAGGCACAGATTAAGAAACTTTTACAGAATCCCTAAACCAATTTTTATTCACCACATGCTGAAAAATATATCCTAATGGCTAAGCTCTTACATAAGTTGGACCCAGACTTGCACTGTTTCAGAAACATTTACCAAACTTTTCATTCTATCACCTAATTCTTATCAAGAAAATCATGCTTAAAAAAACTTGAATGCCTCAACCATTAACTGGAGCAAATAAACATCTGGGTGCACAGCGGTAAGGAGAGAATGGTGAATACAAAAGACTATACTATTGCCAATCCTAAGTTCTTAGTTAACCAAAACATACATGGATGTGATATGATGAATACTAGCTGAAATTTAAGTAGTTAGAAGCATCTTAAACAGATTCAAACCTTAGGCCACATCTGGGAGTGCTTCTACAACGGGCTTTTTTGTGCTTCATGTTTGGGAAGCCAAAAGCCAGTAAAAAAACATTTGGTGAAGAAGCTCAAAAGGGATTTTTGTATCTAAAAAGCCCATTTAAAAAGTAGAAAAAACTTCATTTAGCTTTTCATGTTTGCAATAACTTATTTTGAACAAAAAAGCTGGTGACTAAGCCAAACACTAAAAAAGCACTTTTTCAAAAAACCCATTTAGGCCAAAAAGTACTCCCAAATGCTGCCTTAGTACCATAAAAAAAGGTTGGCTTTTGGTTGTATGCTTCGAGACTAGGGGAGCTGCTCCTTTTTTTTTTTTTTTTTGATAATTACTAGGGGATCTGCTCTTGATTTGGGCATTTTGGCTCCTGTTATGCCCATTTTGACACTAGTCTGGATTCATGAGAGATGCTTACTGCTCACATGGAATGGAGCCACTACAAAGAAGTTCCAGGGGTTACAACTTTCAAACGAAGCTTCTGGTTCATATTGGTCATGTGTTGCRAATGGGAATTGAGCTCTATGTTCCTCAATAGCTCATTGGTAGGAGTGGTCAGCTGTTAACTGGTCATAGGTTCAAATCCTACTTCGGGGCATTTGAATCATTCTGAACTAAATAATTGAGAATCAAAGGGTTGTGGTATTTCCTTTTCATTATTGTTTTTTTTTTGAACCTTGAAACTAAGACTTCCCAAAAGCATGTGCCATTGAATTTGCAAAGACTACATATGGACAAATTGAATTAACAGAGGCAAAATTAATGGAATGAACATTCAGATGGGAAATAGTACCTTAATGCCTTATAAATGGACAAATCTGTGCTGCCAGAAAGACATGACATTAGAAGGGACTTGGCCAATCAAAACCCCCTGGTGAATTTGATAAAAAACCACCTGATTGATCACCACTTTTATGCTACCAGTTGATTAGTTACAAGTTTTTTCAGTATCATGTCTTTCCAGTATCATAGTCAAACCCCTTATAAATATAAGAAAAATATTTTCTATCCTCGCTCATTATGTCCATGTTTATCCTCAAATGGCAGCTTAATTTCATACAGCTAATCAAAATTTTATTACATAAACATCTATCCAAATTTGTAGCCATATCATTGTGTAAATGCCTTGTACATCAGAATATTGAGGAAAAAAAAGACGTATAAAACCGTAGCCAAACCGCTTACAACAAATTTGGAAAAAAATAGTATAATAAAATTGAAAATAAAATGTATATATATATATATATATATGTGGGTTGTGCCGTGCTGGCACATGGGCCATGCCTGCCCGTAGGTGGCCCAGCCCACTTTACTGCTCTAAGCAAGTAGTTAGAACCCAACACATAATTTGCAATAGAAGACCAGGACTAGAGATATTGAACACATTGCCACATTATCGACATGCAAGATCAACCATTCTAAGCCCTAAAACCCTTAAATTATCTGAAGGTAAAAAAGAAAAAATAAGCAATGTTTCCATGTTAAGATAGGCTTTCTCCAAGCAACCAGATTTGACAAAGTATTATGAAGAGAGGTATGGTTGAATGATCAAAGTATCAACTATTGACAATAATTCTACTTTCCTTCTTTCCTCTTCTTTTTTTAATGATCAATAGTGAAAATTCATTAATGATAAAAAAGGACAAATATAAAAAGAACGGGAGTCTGAAAATTAAAAGAGATCTACCCAGAGAATCCAACTAAGTTTACAATTAGCAAACCTCATGCCAGTAACAAACAACTCCGCAATCTGTTTCCTAGTACCTTTCCATGCATGCAAATTAAGCACTAGGTAAGCTGATTTTGGGGTCTAATGGAATGATGGAGCCCAACCTATCTGCCAAAGAGTTTACCTCTATTATTGATAAAAAAAAAAGATTTTACCTCTATGGTAGAATGGCAGGATGGCTGATCCCTTATGGGCCAATAGAAGATCTAGTCATTATCCCCATCTATAAAAAATTGATCAAAACACATGGTGAATGGAAGTTTTAAGGCCTAAGAACAATAGAAAATTTTCCACTTTATTGAATCTCCCTCTCCCATGGAACCAGAATAAGCAACAATTATAGCACTTGAAAAATTTTTGAAAATCCTCCAATGCCCATAGATTGTCTTTACATCTTCTAACTAAGATCCCAATGCAAGATCTCAACATACCGGGAATGGAAGCTTCAATCATAGGCTACAAACATACTGAGTATCCTTAATTTGGAACTTTGCCATTGGCATTAAGTTTTATTTATCTTAGGCTTTCTCGAGTACTTGCTTACCCGTTATCCTGTAAGTATTTATATTTATTGTTATGGAAAGGTAAAGATTATAGAGAAAATTGGGAAAGAACATTCCCTATGAGTAGGTCATGTCTATATGCATCAGTATTGGCACTCTTTGGTTGATCAACTAAAAATTTTATGCCCATGAAGAAAGGAGTACAAAAAACCCTTCAATCTTTTAATCCATGCCCACCAAGTAAAAATTTCTCTCCTCTCTAAATAGGATTCATTAAAATGGAAAAAATGCATAAACTTCTATACTACATGAACATTGACACTTTAAGTGTCAATTTGACACACTACATGCCAATTCAATGAATATCTCTTACAGAGAAAACTAAGCATACATATTTACAAAAAATATTTCAATTGAACTAACATATAGAAGTAATGGTACATGGTAAGAAGATATGCTAATTTTTCCAAATGGAGTTTTGCCTTTCTAAGAGCTGGTTTGGAGAAGACTGTAATATGTGAGAATGCTAAGAGACTCAGCTTTAACAACTCAGAGTGGTTAAACAAACAGTGTTGAGGAGGAGATTTGGGATATCTTGTGAAGTGTGGAACCAACAGTAATATTGTTCCAATAGAGCATTATAATAAATAATTGCTATAAAATATAACAAAATGAGACTAGCAAAAAAAAAAAAAAAAGAGTGTGCAGCAAAACCTTTGTCATCCCACCGAAAGACAGATCATTGAGGTAAGAGTTCCCAAGAATCTATGTCCTCGCTGAAAATAACCAAGTGAATATCAGTGAATGCTATTGTTATGAGCTGATAGCAAATGGAAGTCTGGTCCCCGTGGTTGAGAAGGCCTGTCAATGATTGGGATGTGAGCCCCTAACCAGGATGTTGCAGTTAGTGGAGAAGGTTAAACCCCGATAAACAGATGAAGATCAACTTTGGTGGAAGGGAGTGATGCAGGATCTTTGTGATTCAGTACTATTCTTGCAACCAACAAAGATGGTGTTTGGTAAAGTGGGCGTTTATCACCCCATTTTTCGAGAATAAATGCCCACACTCAACCCATATTTGGACGTGTTGTTTGGTGCAAATAAATAAACATTAATGCCACCTAGGCAAAAACGCAACTGCAGGCTGTTTGGAAGTGTTATTTAACTGGTGTTTTGCATACGTTGCAAACTTGCTATAATGTGTGACATGCGCAGTGGTCACCGTCATTGGAGAAGGATGTCTGGAAATTTCTGATATTATTATTTTAGCCGAAAGTACAGAAGTATATGAAGAAAAGAGAAGCGGCAGGTGTTTAACTCAAAATGCTCACCACCGATGTGAATCCAGTGAGGATCAACAGCAGTGACGAGTAGCAGCGGAGGGCTGATGGCTTAGAGAAGAAAAATTGAACAAAAAAACTTCAAAATCAAATCCAACTAATGAAGAAAGAGATCTGTTGGGGTTTTAACCCAAGAAACTCACTGGTGATGTGAATCCGACGAGTAATGACAGTGATGAGTAGCAGCGGTGGGCGGATGTCCAATGAAGGAAACAACGAACAAAACTTTAACCTAACACTTGTACACCAACAAGTGTAAACTGTGATCTACCGCATGTCAGCAGACATGTGAGATCCACATTGGCTCCACATCAACGAGCCATTGGCAATGGGGTATTGGGGGGCGTTACCATTGCCCAAAACAGTAGTGCTCAGAAAACCGAGGTGTGGACGTTTATTGCTGTTTTTTTCGTCAAGAGCCCCAACCAAACAGCACAACTCGCCCTGATAAACGGAAACATCTATGTGGCACTGTTTATCGGATAAATGACCACGGTAACAAACACAGTCAAAGAAAGAAGAGAAGAGATGGAAATAAAGATGAAATCCCTAGGCAATCATACCTAAGGGTGAGGACAATCACACCAAATTCTGTAGAGAACTTCTTTGTTCATTAGTCAAAAATTGTTCTTCAAATGAGCCTTACAAAATAAGAAAGAAACTTCCAAAGGAGGAAACTTGCCTCCCAAGTTAGCTTGCCCAACAAGCCACTTACAAAAAGAAGCTAGATTAGACTAAACCTGCCCCAAGCCATTACAGACATAAAGCCATACAAAGGGAAATTACTATGCTAAGAGCTTTCCCCAAACATAGCTTCTACACATGCAAAATTACAAAAATACCCTTGCTGTCCAGAAATGTATGAAAATCAATTAAGTCCTGTCCAGCAGCAAACTCAACCACAGAAAGAACATCTTAAGGTGGATTGAAGACTCTAGGATCATCCCAAGTTGATCCACTGCTAACCAAGCTTCCATGTGGACCCCACATCACCATAGTGATGCCAAATAAGCATAGGAGCAGCTTTGGTTCTCTTTTGATATACCTTAAGTTGATTCCTGTCAAGGAGACAATTCAGGTCAGTTCTTAGTGAAATTGATGTTCCACAATCTGATATACGCCAGAGGAGATGTCGTCCCTTAAAGCTGGATTTGGAGTCACACTCATAAGGTTCCTTCAAAGGCATCCTTTTTCTTTTGGATGGCAATGAAAGAGAGGATCCCTACTATTGATGTTTTAAGATCTAAAGGGATGGTGGTTGTCAATTACGGCTGTTTGTGGGGCGGGAATGAGGAAAGTAAGCCATCTGCTTATCCATTGTAGCTTTTCTCGTCAAATATGGCATCATATCCTACAGCTATTTGGTTTTCAGTGGGTGGAATTTCTGAGTATCAACTGCCTGACAGTTTTTTAATTCAGGAGCTTTCAGTAAGAGAGGAAGGGTTCTATGGAATATAGCTTCTTTTGAGATTTGCTGGTGTGTGTGGAGAGAGAGGAATGGTAGGACATTTAAAAACAAAGCATCTTTGGCAGGGATTCCTCGTGGGAAGGTTATAACTTGAAAGACTGATTGTCAGATGGGCTCAAGTTTGTAGTTTTTTCCATGGTTTCAGTCCTTTGAAACAAAATGGGAAAAAAACTTGCATTATTTCAAAAGGGTAAAGAATTGGGGTAAAAAGAAGAGTTAATTACAAATAGCAGTATAAGGTGAAATTTGTCTGTAGGAAATATTGAATTATTAATCAGGTATATGGAAGTAAGGCCCCGTTCACGTCTCAGTAAGTCATTTACCTGCACAAATGCACTTATCCGGGCAAGTGTTTCTTGGGAAACACTTACCCAGATAAGTGCACTTACCAGTATTTTTCCCTATGTAAAGTTGTACAATGACTGTTTTATGCAAAAAAGTGGCATTATTGAAGGGTCAATATTGTCCCATCACGTATTAGCAATTTTTTGCATGGATTGGTAAGTGATTTATCCAAGTCTCAGGAGGGTATTACTTGCCTAGGTAAATGAGCCGCTCAGGGATCATTCTTTTCCACAAGACCCATTAATACTGAAATACGAATGCGGGATTATTTCTTTTCCATGGGACCCACCAACATACCTGCCCACACTTTGCGGGAAACAAATGAGGCCTAACAAAGAACTCTATGTAAATATAATGCTTTTCCAAGTTCCAATTATTAACAGAGAAATCATTTTCAAGAAGAGGAAACAGTAATTTTTCAAGTGACAAAATCAAGCATATAGTCGAGGTATGTGAATCTTTTAATGAAAAAAAAAAGAAACAAATAGAGACATCTTCATGCCTATCATTTTCTAATTGATAAAAAATGCTTACCATGTTTCCATGGTGCAAGAAGTTATCAATAAAAACATTGTTGTTTCTAGGAATCTGGCACAAAAGAGAGAAAAGAAAGGCATACAAGGGGAGTGGCAAACGAAAAAGAATGGATCAGTTCTTACCTTCTTTAAAACATGGCAAAGGCATGGGCTGGGACATATCAGGCATCACTCCAAGTTTGGGCACATCTTTACTGATTATTGGTAGGCTTGCAGGAACATATTGTTCTTGGCACTTCTTCTGTAATTCTTTTCTGAGTGAAAACTTCTCTTGACCTTCTTCATCTTGTCCATTTTCCACTGACAAATCTACTAAGACATAACTTGAGTTTGAGTTGATAAAATTTTACATTGAATAGAGAGATAAGTGAGGATAGCCAAACCTGTGTGTAAGTAATACATATCATCCAAGGCCTCAAGCTCATTGTTACAACCACCTATGAACACAATAAGACCTTTTTGTGGATCCAGGCAGTCCCCAGCTACAGAAAATCTGGCAGAGGGTCCTTGTCCTGTTGCTATCACTTTAGTCCAAATACCACTCTCTGCTCAGATGTAGGGGAGAGGGGAGGAAGAAAGATGATCAAAAGAACAATTGATATGGGATTACCAGCTAAAAATATAGATATAAAGAGTAGGAAATATTTAGCAGAAAGAAATTACTAGACTATATGTATGATAACAACAACAATGTGCACATTATATCACCATCGCACCACCAAAATAATATTACAAAGTGAAAATCTGAATCTGCCTAAAGTAGACAAGTAGAGGTACTTAAAAGTTAAAACTCATTAACGGACAAGTGACAAGAGGTTGGGTAAACATTTTAAGCCCAACTGGTGGTTGATTTGTTGGTTGGCAGGGCAGGTGGCTACAATGACCTGGTCAACCCAATAGCATGAGTAGTCCTTACACAAAACTGAACAGCATATGCATACTTGTCAATGAAACTAGCCTGGATGGATTGCAAGGTTCAACCAGTTGGCTTGGCAAAACTTTTGAAGTTTTGATGCATGCCCTGGTCTGGGTTCAAATTGACCTACTTTGCCTCTGCTTCTAGACATGTTCAATCTAATCATCTTTTCCAGTTCTGCATTAGAACTTTAGCTTGGACACATCTCTTGATAGGTCTCATTTAGGAAACCTTCAAATACAAAAGTGTGACAAACAGGACGATTCTAAACATCTGACCAAATTCCTTCTTTCTGAACTGTTAGGTGGTTAGGATCAACAATTAGATTCATGTTTAATATTCTTCCATATAAAATCCATTTGCATGCTTACTGCATGAAACATAGGTTGATAGAGCAGAGTCTACTCGATATGAGAAGAACAGCAGGACAGGGAACTGTCGACAGAGGACTTGCCTTAACTAAGGATTTCCTTCTGTTAGAAGGTTTTATAGGTTTCGCCCCAGTGAACTACTCTAGTATGATATCTGACCTTTATTCTGGGAAAAGTTCAGATGCTGTAATGAATCCATTACATAAAACTTTTATTGTGAATACATACCAACATTTAGCATATGAAGATCATCATAAAGATTTCGGGCATTAGTAAATCCTCCAAAAACAAACAAGTTTTTGCCAAAAGCAACAGTTGAGTGTCCAGCCCGAGGAGGTAACACCTGGCCTGAAGTATATAGTTCCCTCCAAACAAGGGTATCTGTTAAAACATGCAACAACAAAATAAATATAGAGAAGAAACAGAAAGGCAAGAAGCATCCACATAACATTTTTCTTGGGCAAGGTTTAAAATGTTAATGTTGGTGGAAATATCAGTCATTGAAATATAGGAAACATGCTGGAAATGTTGAAAATGTTGTATGGAAATATTATAAAAATCATAGACATGGTGGAAACATTGTGAAATATGCAAAAAAAAAAAAAGAATGAATGATATCTTGTGAAATGATAAAATAAAGATAGGTGCAAGAATGAAATTAAGAAATATGGTGCTACAAGAATGAAATTAAGAAATTTAATTGGCTGACAACAAATACGCTGGTTTCAATACAGTGGGTGGGGAGATCAGCAAATTCTTTGGCTGATGTGTTAGCCAAACAAGGGACAAATAGGGAAGAATTGTTTTGGGCTTAGCTGTGACTTATGTAATTTATTACTAGTTTACTTGTGAGCTATTGGGAGAGGCTGCAGCTCACGCCTCTCCATGGGATGTTGTATGAAATTACAATTCTAAATCAATTTCTGAATTAATAAAATTCCTATTATTCATAAAAAAAATAAAGATAGGTGCACCCTTTTAAGTTATTATCTTGTTCTAAACTATCAAGCTAAAAAAGTAAGGTCAGCACTCAGCTGATAAAATAATACACTGTAAAGTTGTCTTGTAAACTTTAAGAGTCAAAACTACATGATAGAGTGAGCTCAAGCAAAATTTGAACTCATAGAAAGTGCAAATGATTCTAATAGATTTACTAATATAATGTATTACATGGAAAAAAAACTCAAGGTTTAACTTCATGTTTGAAAAAAAAAAATAATTCAAGCTGGTCAAAGTGGTAAAAATGTCCATTAGGTGGGCATTGATATTGCTACTACACATATATTGTTGTCAATTTATGGTATGATACATCTCTTATACTCCACATGGTGCTGGTAGTTTTCATTGGGGAATATGCCGATTCCAGTAATATTTTGTGTTGGGACCCATGGTGGAGATGGAAATATGTCAAGGAAATATTAGGTAATATATGGACATTTCAAACCATGTTCTCAACAAGCCAAGCATGAAAATTTTGAACATGAACATATTATTTCTTTGTTATCATTGCTTGCCGAAACAAGGGTGTTTAAGTGAAATGAGACCTGTGTCGAGGATATGAACATCAGACAAGTAATAATCAGACGCATCTTCACCACCGACCACAATTATTTTGTTCATCCAAGATGAACATGTGTGACTATCACGTGCAGAAGGTGGAGTTCCCGACGTAAGAGCATGTTTCCACATAAATGTCTCTGAAAGTTTTAACGGGAAAAAGAAAAAAAGACAAATTATCAACACAACTTGCTTCTCAAGCTATCATGCATCTGCATGCAATTGCACCCTGACAATAATATATGCATTTGAGATGCAATGAATATATACCACCTCCTTAACTGAGGTTATATTGGAACTTACATAAAGGGCATCTTTTTAAGAGCAATGTTGCAAAGAGAACTTGCACAAATGACATTTGTGTGATTTGTCAACAGGCAGATCCTTTTCCTATTTTTATTTTATCAATCAGATCCAGGTTTTAGGTGGGCTACACTGCCAATACTGAGGGTGGATTAGGTGTGGCATTCAAAATAGTGAGCTATCTTGGTTAATTATGGTTATTTTGTTTAGCTTAATCCTGATGCAGTTGCAGTTGCACTGTATCATTGCCTTGCATAAGTCACTCCTTTTTCCCCTGTAATCCACAGTAGAGAGTTCTTGTACAAATAACTTTGTTTGCACAAGTGCTGTCTGCAATATTGCTCTTTCTTCAATAAATGGAAGAACGATAAAGCTTGTCTAACCAATAATGGAAGTGACTAAAGATTGTAAGTAACAATAGATAATGGAATGGACCAGTCAATGCTATCTAAGTCTTAATACTTGAGATGATTATCTGTAAATGGAGAATGTTACCCGTATCTAGTATGTAAAGATCATTATAATACACTTCAGTTGAACCATTCCATGATTTCCCACAGCCTCCAAATATGAAGAGTCGTTTCCCAATAAGTGCTGCACTATGTCCTTCACGTGCTTCTGGTCCCTCACCAACTACGCTTGGGGTCATCCATGTATTGGATGCTAAGAACATGTTTCACTCATTAGTAGTCATGACATGAGATAACCCTTGAATTGAGTATACAACAAAATAAAGATTAAAGCACATAGTTGGGAACATTTCATAAACCACAAGAAGCTAAATTAGCTCAAATATCCTGAAGACCACAAAAAAAAAAGCTAATAAGCAATATCTACAACATTTTCCATCTATCTGTCACTTTCAATTACATTTTATAACTCTTTGAATATAAATCTAAATTTGTAGATTTAGCCGCAAAGTAAATCAAAGATCAACACAACAGAAGGTATAAATTTGGCATCAGATGCAATGCAAACAGATTGATAGACTATATAAGAAGATATAATGAAATAAAAAAGGACTTACAAGTATCTAGAATATGCAAATCCTTGAGTGGGGTCTTCCCATCGGTACCACCAAATACGAAGAGGCTGTTTCCGACAGTCGTACAACTGTGACTGTCCCTTGGAGAAGGTGGGATGCCTTTCACCATTGGCTTACTCCATGTCTGCCTAACTGTATGCCAATAACAATAACAATAATAAATAAACGAAAAGAAAAGAAAGAAAAAGCGAAGGAAATTAGCCAATTCCAAAGGAACATGAAAATAAAGAAAAAAATGAGAAATATCATCTTGAGACTGCAAATGCGTGCTATAAAATCCTAAGTATTTAAAAATTTAACTGCAACGCATGAAGCCTGAAGATCATGCTCCAGAGGACCAGAAAAGAGGGCATCTGTTATATTGCATTATTAATTTATTATTAGAACCAAAACCCATGAATATAAAACCCTGAAAGTTTCAAAATCTGCTAATGTTAAAATGCCACTAAAAATTTATAAATTCTGGGATAAATCCCTCCTATATAAAAGTTCTGCAATAGAAGGCAAAGATTCAAAGCAGGTGAAAACAGAAAACCCAGATAAGAAAGACCTCGTAAACCGAAAATATACAACTGCCCAAGTCGCAGACTTCACTACCAACAACAAATAAGAAGAAAAGTTGAAGTCCATAACGAATAAAACTAAACTGAACAGACACAAAATGCAAAACTCACAACAGCAGAAAGCATCCAGCAAAACCATAATTTCGAATTCTCACCAGTGTCAAAGACATGCACGTCGTTGGTCTGGCAGTTATCCTTGCCATAGCCACCGAAAACATAAAGAAATTTCCCCCCTTTAACCGCGTTGCATGAATGGCCCCACCTCTTTCCAGGTCCAAAAATCCCACCTTTTCTACCTGGAGATTTCTTCCCATCTAGAGCTTCTCTCAATCTGCTGCTCAACTCTATCTTCTCCCACCTCATTGTTACACCCAGATATTTCCTTTTCTTAATTTAAGTAAAAGGAAATCCAAGCGATCCAAACAAAACCAAGGGAACAGAAAACCCAAATACCCAAACGAAGCTTGGGATCAGTTTCTATTCTACTTACGAGCTAACAAAACAGATTTTGGGCGTACAAAATACCAATTCATTACAAAACCCAGCCATCACCAAAGAAATGTCAATAGACGAAGAGTGACTGAGAGATATAGCAAAAGAAAGTTTGAGATGAAATGCCAAGATTTCGAAGTTAGAGGTTTACAAAAGATAACAAATGGGCAATGGTCTGACCCATGAAATGAATACCGCATTTAATTTATGACATTAATTTTGGATATGGATAGGTGGTAGATTTGATCAAGTCATTTTGTTGTCATTTTTATGCAACTATGATTTATAAGACGATCTTAGAGTGAACCGATTTTTTCATGAACAGTGGGTCAACGGTTCAAACCATTTGATCCCTATTATAGGCTAAATTACATATTACTGTAGTAGTACCTACTAATATTACTATATTATCGTCTCAGTTGGTAGGATCTCTGATTCCTCAGAGACCTGGGATCCCTCCCATACAGTTGCCACCAGGATTGGGAGGGCTACCCTAATTGTGTAGTCCTAATCCTATGAAGTGAAAAAAATGCCACTGCAGCAGCATGTAACGATATAAGCAATTTAAAAGTTTTGAAAGTGCCATAATTACTCTTTTCATTATTTTTTAGACTATTTTATCATTTTCTTCAAAAACATTTAAATTTAGGTTATATTTGGGTTGAAGGAAAAAGTAGGGAAAGGAAGGGAAAAGTAGGGATACCTTGACAAACCTTATATAGGTTCCCCTACTTTTACCTACATTTTCCTTCAAACCAAACGCAGTTAGAGTTCTTCCCAATTTTCATTCAAGCTTCTCAACCATGGAACTGGAAGATGAGATCCAAGCGTGGTGTAGTAAGATCATGTGTAGGCAATTCTCTAACTAAATCATTATCATATGTGTGGGCACTTTGTGGCGCCGGTTTTGAAGAAAAAAAAATACAGATTTTTCACCTTGATTTTCTTCCCTAGTAACAATGAAAATTATTTGTCTTCTCCGACAATGGTAACAGTCTAAAACCCCTTTCTTCTTAGGTGAATAACTGTGAAAAGGATTTTCTTCTTAGGTGAATAACTGTAAAAATGATTAGTAGAGAACCTCTGCATTATTGTTGGCAATGACATTGTTTGCAATTCTTTTCCATCGATGATTTTCATTGTAACTATGCCAATGAAAAAGTACCAGAAACCATGTGATGCTTGTTGACCTATTTACATGGAAGATGCAACCAAACGGCTTCAATGGGTATTTTTGTCTTTTCACCTACCATCGAACATTGGTTAACGGTTTTGGCCTAAAGTGGCAATTTTTGGGAGTTCAGTTAATGCGATCACAGATTTTAAAGTTTGGGTGCTAAAGTGAGACTACCCCCAAAGCACAGGGTACTAATTTGCAATTTAGCCTAAATAGATACACTCAAACAAGTGTAGACAAAATAATATAATTATAAAAAAGACAAATTATTTAAACCTCTTCTATGTTTTTTTGCAATACTTTAACCTTCTTTGTATTTTGACCTTTCCAAATTTCTCCCTCCACAATTTGAAGAAATCATTAAATCATAAAATCATAAAATCATACTTTAACCTTGTTTGTTTTTTGGGATTTTTGAACTGCAATCCCCCTCAGAAATCAAATTTGCAGCCCCCTCCTAGTCTATTAGTAGCCCCCCACTATAAATCGCATCCTGCCCATGAATTTGGCATCAATTCATGGACAGGATTCAGTCTACCCCTAGTCTACTAGTAGCTCTACCTAGGGGTGGACTGAACGGTAAAAACCCCTTATTTTTTGCAATACTTTAAGTAGTTTTAGGAAACTACTTAAATATGTCTTATATGTCTTAAAGTTAAAAAAAAAACAACTTATAATATGCATAATATAAACAAGTCCCTCCTCCTCCTTTTTCATCTTTTCTTACAGTAAAAAACTAAAAAATGGAAAACATTGTAGGAATTTTTAAAGGGGCAAACGAAGAGTGTTTTAATCCATTTCATAGGAAAGGCTTTTAGATCCATACTTTTTTTTTTGTTCGTAGATTCAGATTTCTACAGACAACAAAATAGACATCAATGGAGGAGAGCTGAATAATGGATGAACCATGGATCTAGGCTTTTAGATTCAGACTGCAGTGGCCATTAACCTAGGTTTGGGTTTCAACTTTTGATATCTGCAAGAAAACTTCCTTTACTTGATTCTGGTTTCCATTGCATTTGTGCATCTATATAGGATTTCTGAAGATTAATTTTTTTTCTCAATTTATTTCAAAAGATTAATAGTGTGGGCTTTAGAATCCAATAGTCTTAGGATATAATCTATCAATCTCTATAGATTTTTCACAGTTCCAGGTGAACTTTCATTATTTCATTTTATAAAGTAGGACCGATTAAAGGGTTTGAGTTTAATAGGTAAGTAATACTTTGGTCATTTCATCCCTGAACCATGACCCACCCCATTAGATATAAAAAAACCATTATACCAGTGTTGTCCCAACTATCTGGGGGTCTTGGGAGGGGTAGACTGGTTATGGTCCTAACCTTTGATATTCTTTTTCACACAAATTGGCTGCCCTTTAATTTCAACCCATTAGATCATCATCTTCATCTAAACCTTGTCCCAACCATATGGGTGGGCTATTTAAATCACGTTTCACCATTTTGTTATGTGAAGCACACCTCCATGGTTAAATTACGGGTGCTTAATTATTTCTTATTATTACTTCCACCCAAGTCCTTTATCGTGTATCCTTAGTTCTTCTAGTCTTTTTGATTTATAACAAATCAATTTTTATAACCTATACTATATATGTCTTCTGTGCATGCGACCAAATCATTTTTAATATATTTTCTCTCATTCTATCATTCTAGTTTTTTTGGACTTGTTTCTTAACTGCCCAACACTCTTGCTCGATACAACATAACTAAGCTTATAACTGTTATATGGAATTCGCACCACCCACCATATATATCCCATCTAATAGATTCTATGAACTAGAATTCAAATTATTCATATGATAAAAAGGTAAAATATCATCCAATCATGCTGTTTTTTTTAGGCATATTCAATGGTGGGTGGAAATAACACTTTACTCTTCTTGTTAGGCTCAGTTTAGAAGGAGTACAAATACAAATATATATAGAACATAAAACCTTGTCTTTTGTATGTACTTGTATTGTACATATTTGTAGTTATACTATTTCCAAACTGAGCCTTTATCAAATAAAGAGTGCAAAAAGAGATGATGTGCCTAGGTCCATGGAAGATCTCTGCGAAATTCACTATTCTCAATCTACTAAATTACAGCCTTAGCATATAAACCGGCTTTGTATCATCATCACGCTAGGTTTTCAGGCTTTCCTGACCTGATCAGTACAATTGAGAATAAATAAAAAGTAAGCTCTGTACCGAAAATACTTCAATAAAGAACAAATTTTGCATACTAAAATACCATGAAAGATCCCCATCTTTCATTGTTGTTTTTGCTGCTGCTCGTAACTTGTCCGTTTAATATAAGACACCTTCACTAATTAAGTGCCTCTCCTTTTGTTCTTTGATCTTAATCCTTAGCTAGGCTTAGCTTGTTGGTCTGCAGTACGAATTTAATTTGCACCGGTGTATACAAATTCAATGAATGCATATTTAAAAAAAAAAAAAACCCAAGTCAATTACTGCACAATTTCTCTCTAATATTTGCTTTCCAATCTTCCCTACCACCACTATTGTCGCTGCTATGTTCATTAAGTAAATAGGTTGTACAGTGTAAATGAAGTTTTAATAAATAAGTCATATTATAAATCATTTTTTAAAACTTAAAGTGAAAACATTTATGTTTTCTTTAGAAAATCAAAATCATCATCATCATTCAAGCCTTATCCCAACCACCTAGAAATCATAAGGGTGTCTAACATGAATCCTGTCTCTCCAATTCTTATTCTCGCTCTTTGATATACACGTAACGATGATTGGCCACTATTGATACTTTTTTTAGGTTTTATTTATTTTTTTTGAAATCAGTTCAGAGGAGTCAGTTTAAGGCCAAGTATCCTCTGAACCAGTGTCTGACCCGATATAACCCCTAGAGGAGCGTATCAAAAAGCCATCTGCATGATACGTATCAGTCGATACAGGCTGATACTTATCAATACTTTGAACTTTATCCCTGATAAGCTTCTCACTAGAGCACACCCCATACCAACCTCACAACATATCCTACTGTGTACTAGGAACATCTCTCATAAAAACATACAAATACAGGAGATGTTACTGATGTGCGGCTGGGGTGTGTTATGAAGTTGGTGTGAAGAACTCATGTCTTTAAAATCGACTGAGAACCTTTTTTGCCTTTGGGTTAGCAGTTCAACCATCTGATTTGAACGGATAAGCCCATGATGTGATCACAACATAATAAAATAAAATATTAGTTATCAACCTGCAAACCATTGTTTAAGTTGAACCTCAACAAAGTATAAGGCTCAGTTAAGGAATAGTCCAGAGTAAATACATACAAAATAATATAAAATACAAAGTTTTATACTCTATGTATTTATACTCCTTCCAAACTGTGCCTTAGCTGGCACAAAGTCTAAATGCCTGTTTGGGAGGGCTTTCACGCAACAGCTTCTGGTGAGGTGGGCCTCACATGGGCAGCCCATAAGATATATTTGATAAAAATCCAGAAATCAAATATATTGTCATTCAGCACAAAAAAAAAAAAGTCTTTTTCCATGAAGCTTGTGAAGCAGCTTAGTGAAAGTGGGTTAATAAAAGCTTCTACCCTGTGAAAGTGGGTCAATAAAAGCTTCTACCCTTCCAAGTGGGCCCTAAAATTAGGGCTTTGTGCTTTGTGGCTTTAAAAGTGAAGCTTATTCGAGCATATTCTTGAGGAAAATGTTTTCATTGTTTAATAACATTCAAATAATAAGCACATTTAATTAATATGAATATATGTGATTTCTAATAAACGACCCAGATTTCATAATTCTTGATCCTAGTTAAGATTTAAATGGACATAATTAAATCTTTGATATTTGAGGCATTTTTTATGAAGATGTTGCTAAGTTGGTTCAGCTGCATTGAAGCCTCTGGATAAGCTATTCAAAGAGGCTGTGCTTCAATCCTCCCAAATGGGCACTGAAAAACAACACCATTCATGTTGGTGAACATCCCCTTAGTTTATTAGGGGAAACCTATTCTGGATCGAAATAATATTTGATCCATTTTCAACACCACTGATTACAATAATGGCACATTAAAAATGAGATTAGAAGAATGACAGAATTAGTTAAAATCTAGGGGATATATCACAATAAAAGTAACATTTTTAATAAAATTTCAAAAATAAATTAACTTTTTAAAAGTTATTTGATATTAAAAGTAATATCAAATAAGGGCAGATACTGTTCATCTTCTTTTGCATATCGGTAAAGCCTCTGCCCACCTCCGCCTCGTCATCCGCCGCCGATTCCTCAACTTCCTCCGCCTTCTCCACCACCGTTTCTAGCTTTCACCTTGTTGGTTGTGTCCTTGGCCGCCTCCCATGCACCCTACACCGTCTGCTTCGTCCTTTCTGCCACTGAACCCGCAACGTCGCCCGTCTTGCTTGCCACGTCCTGTGCTGTTCCCGTCACCCGACTTGCTCCTTTGTCTTATCCACCGCCGTTCCGGCCATCCCACCCGTCTTGTTTGTCACGTCCTGTGCAGTTTCCCATGCCCGCTGCGTTCCTTCCTTTGCCTCGTTGACGGCCGCCCCAGCCATGCCGCTCGTCTTGTTCCCAATGTCCTGTGCGGTTTCCCTCGCTCGGTTCATTCCTTTCTTGGCCCTGTCAGTTGCCGATGAAGCCATCTCACCCATTTTGTTCCTCATGTCCTCTGCAGTTTCGCTTGCTCGCTGCGTTCCTTCCTTGGCCTTGTCGACAGCCGACCCAGCCATGCCGCTGGTCCTGTTCCCCATGTCCTGTGCGGCTCCCTTTGCTCGGTTCATTCCTTCCTTGGTTCTATCAACTGCCGATGAAGCCGTGTCCCTCGTCTTGTTCATCATGTCTTCTGCTGCCCGCTGGGTTCCTTCATGCCGGAAGCATAGCGCCCAACTTCTCTCATGGATTTGTTGATGCTGTTGGCAATGAGAGAAGCTGCATCTCTCATATCATCTGCTGCATTACGACGCTGAAATTCATCATCCCACAAAAATAGCTAGTGTAACTACATTAGTTACACTTACACACAACCCCACCGAAACAAAACTAATGAAGCGAAGAAGTATATCTTTAATTACCTCTGAGTACTTGGAAACAGGAGTGAAGCAAACTCTCGAGACTCTACGGGTACGGGCGTGAAAAGATCGGAAGGAAAGAGAAGGGCTCTGAGGGAAGGCTCTTGACGTTTTGAAGAAAGCGTTCTTAGTTAGATACATGGTTATGTTGTCACCGTGCTTTTTGTTTTAGCTCGAGTATCTGGTTGGTCTATGGAAAAGTGTTGATGAAGAGAAGATCGTCCATGAAAGTTGCTCAAATAGGCGTGTCAACTGTCAAGAAGGAAGGTGTCTGCACTGTTTGGAAGACACCTGGGTTGATGAGAGACACGTTGTGGACATGCGACCTGCGTTCCAAGGTTCTGCCAATTCAACGACACATCTTCTTGTTTAAGGGATTATAGCAGATAAGGTGGCGGAGGTATTGCCGGAGGCGGCAACGAGCGGCGGCCCAGATGAATAATATGCAAGAAGAAGATGATGAACAGTAATTTTGCCCTTATTTAATATTATTTTTTAAAAATTAATCTATTTTTAAAATTTTATTAAAAATATTATTTTTATAAATATTAAGACCCAAAAGTTATCTTTATCAAATATAACCCCTAAAATCTAACATAAGAGCCTACAGTTAAAAATTATCTGATTTCCCCATTAAATAAATCCAAATTTCATTTTCTAAGAATCTGGCCATATACATCATAACTCTTGGCCTTAAATGAAATGAGTAAGTCTCCATTTCTGTTCTTCCTATTCTCCCTCTGCAAGTTATCACTAAGTCCACCAAGTTACTGTCTCTTCTGCTTTCACCATATTAAAATTCCTTGCTCATTTCAACACTTCTGAAAATAGAAGAAACTGCAGCATGAGAATGCCATTGCTGTCTGCACCTTATTGGCCTTAACAATTGTTTACAAGGAAAAGAAGAGATAATGAACGCTGTGCCAACTATATATAAGCAAACTCAATGAGTCATCTTGGGGCTACCACATGAGTTGCCACGTGGAAGATTCCTGGGTGGCCTGAATCTCTTGGTCCTTGCTACACTGCTCATCTACCAAACAGATTGGAGAGACAAGAAAGAAAAAAGAAATTTCTTTGCATCCTGCACTCTTCCCAAACTGAGCCTAAAACCTCAAGAATGATCTCAGAAAATTCTTGGTTTCCCACCATTGAATAAAACATATTTAAAAAAGTCAAAGTCAATGACAGCATAATTTGTCTCTAATATTTGCTATCCAATCTTTCCTACCACCATTTTTGTCGCAGTTGACTGCATATGATATGTAAGTTGTGTTGCTTCTTCCTCTTCTCTCCTCTGATCACCTCCTAGCTCCACAAATTAAATATCTTCTCTTTGCCTCTTTCTTTGGCCCATCAAAACAAGACTTTGTTCTCAGACATGGAAATAGAAGGGGCAGAGCCAGAGTTTCCAATCAGGATTATCTCCTTCTGCTCCTTTGCCTTGCCCATCATTGTTTTCACTCATGGATGGCTTGCCTTCACAGAGAGTTTCTTGTCCAGAGCATGGTCTTCTGTGGTGACCGGGTTATCACTTCTCCTCTACTTTTCAAGGGTTCTTGATAAATGGAAGACCCCTCCTGTCAAGATTTTCTGGTGGGAAATCTTATTTCTAGCCATTTTGCGCATTGTCGATGCCTGCAACGTGACTAGATTCAATACCTCCATTCAACTGTTGTCCTTTGGCTTACAAATGTTCTGCTTCTTCTGGTTTTGGTTGTTAGGTCTTATCATCTACAGGGTTTCCGATTTTGAACCTGATGGAGTTTCAAAGGTAAAAGAGTTCCTTTCATCACCAGGTAGCCCTCTGTCGCTTGAAATATCAATTCTTTCATTTGGTAATGGACTGGCAACGATGGCCGGAGATTTCCTTGCAGAAGGAAAAATAATTCTCATCTGGAAATCAGTGGTTGGGCTGTTGACACTGCTAGCTGGTGGAATTGCATTTTATTATGCCTCCCGCTACCAACACCGGATTATTGATCCGGTCCTCTTCTCAACATGGAAGAGAAGAATATATAAATACTCTCTTCTTCCTATTCTCTTCCGATGTCATGCAAATTATCTTTCCTCTCCCTCGATCCCTTGGCCTATCAGTTCACGTCTGTTCTACAACAAGAAAGAGGCGGGCAAAGAAGCAGAAACAGAGTGGCCAATCAAAGTTGTCTCCTTGTGCTTCTTGGCCTTGCCCATCGCCATATTAACTCATGGGTTGCTGGTTGTTACAAGGTGCTTCTTTTCGAGGGGATGGTCGTTTGTGGCAACAGGGTTCTTAGTCATGTGGTACTATTCCATTGTCGCTCGGAAATGGAAGATCAGAGTCAAACCGTTTTGGTGGCAGTTCTTCTTACTGTTCGTTGCGGGTGCTGTAGATTCTGGCAGTGCTAGTAATGAATACCTAAGCGTAAAGATAATGGTGTGGGCCCTGAGCTACGCGGTGCTCGCTGTCTTGATTGCGCGTCGGCTGGTTTCGTTGTGTATGGACGGCTATCCGCCGAAGGAGCCGCTGGTTTTAGAAGAAGATGGTTGGCTGTTCGAAGCACTGGTTCTGTCGATCAGCAACGGAGTAGCAGCGATGTTTGCTGGGAAATTCCTCTTGAAAGGGGATATCGGATGGAAAATGATGGGAGGGATTCCCATGGTTGCAATGGGCGTTGTCACGTTTTGTTTCGCATCCTGCTACTACCAATGTATCATCAATTCTATCCGTCTTCCCCACTGGTTGCAACGCCATCTGAAGATATCGGAGAATGCAGAGTCACCGGTGGCTCCTCTGCCGCAAGCTGGAAGTTTGTTGAGAAACGAACAAGGAAATGTTTCAGATGATGTCCGCAGGGTGGGCTAGGGCTAGCTGTGCCACCGGGTTGCTTCCCCTGTTCCAACTACCTAGCCCTAGATTTGTGAATATACATATATTCACTAATATATATATATATAAGGGGCCAATTAAACCATTCGATTAGTTTCTGGTTTGCTTCTGTCACTAAATTCTTTGCCATTTCTGGAGCAATTATAATAACCTAGCACTAAGTTGACCACCACCATACTGGATTGGTATTATCAAGCATGATCATAAATCACTTAAAAATCGAAATAAATGCATTTCAGATAGACAAAATGGTTAGTGCATGTCCAAGTTTATTATCTTTTGGAACAACATGAAGGAAGAATGGCAAGTCAAAGAGGGGCACTTCGTTTCCTCTTTAAGTATTAAAAAAAAAAAAATCTTATTTGTCAAAAAGAGAGCTCTTATAGAATTCTGATAGAATATGATGCTAGTAAACATGTGAATTAACTTTTATAATTTCTTTTGAATATTTTGAAGGGTAGATCCGGGGTATTTGTGGGGCAGGTTTTGAAATAGCTTAAATTGCTGAAATCTCCTCTTAGGTTTTGTTTATTACTGAAATTTCCCCCAAAGTTTAGTAATTGTAATTACCGATCTTGAACTTTTTGACACAGTTGCAAGTAGACCCCTTCTATTAAAATCTTCTAACAAGATTTACAAAATTTTCCAAGTTATCTAAGTAGTTGCTACTGAAGAGAATTTAAAGTTGCAGTGTTAACTTTGAGCGATTGATATGAAGGGCAAAATTGGAAAATAAACCAATTTCTGAAAAGAGATTGGAAGGGTTTGGGCTAGCACTTCATATAAAGAGAAAATTAGGAAATTAAGCATTTTGGTCAAAAATAACTGTATAGATATTTTGGACATTTTTGTCCCTATTTTCAGAGGACTCTAACAAACAGGGTCAACCTGCAACTATGTCAGCAAGTTTAGGGGAGGTGATTGCAATTACCAAACTTCAGGAGAGGTTTCATCAAATTACCTTTTAAAATATTCAGTGAGTGATTGGTGATTGTGATCCCTAAGGCTGTTTTTGGTTTGAAGGAAAAAGTAGGGAAAAGAAGGGAAATGTAGGAAAACCTTTACAAACCTTGTATAGGTTTCCCTATGTTTTTCTTCATTTCCCTACCTTTTCCTTCAAACCAAACATAGCCTGAGTGTGCCTACCTGATCCGAACTCATCCCCTGTATAAATCCAGTTTTGGCATAGAACCCCCCCTCCATCATCATCTTGGCTACCATTTGGACAATTTTGGATTTTATGAATGGTTTTTTTTTTTTTTTTTCTCGAAACAAAAAACAAGTTGCATTTCTTTCTTCACCTATACTTCATTAATTCTTGCAATGGTGGCATTTTCTTAAACCTCAAGAATAATCTCAGAATTGGCGTCGAAAAAGAAAAAAAAGAATAATATCAGAATTTATTGGTTTCCCACCATTCAATATATAAAACTTATATTTAAAAAAAAAGTCAAAGTCAACGAATGCTTGTATAATGCGGAATTAGTCTCTAATGTTTGCTTTCCAATCTTCCCCAACCCACGAATTTTGCCGCAGTTGACTGCATATGCATAGTTCATTAGTTCATAAGCAAATAACATTTAAGCAACACACAAGACTTTCTGCTCGACATGGAAATAGAAGGGGCAGAACCAGAGTTTCCAGTCAGGATTATCTCCTTCTGCTCCTTCGCCATATCCATTATTGTTTTCACAAAGGTTTTTAAAATTGAACTGGACAATGAATCAGTCAGGGGTCTGCTTCCCGGGTCGAATGGTCTGATCATTCAAACTGAATGGATGGCCCATTCTGACAAAAAAAATAAAAACGGCCAAAATCGCTGAACAGTTTGAATGGTTCGAGCGGTTCGAACGGTTTGACTGCCTAGGTCAGCGGTTTACTGACCAAATCAACATTTTTG